GAACCAGACAAAGAAACCATAAAGAATCGATACGTAATGAGTCAAAAAGAAAGAAGCAAAAATCGATACAGACCATAAATCAATCAGAAGCAATGATCGAAATTCATGAGATTGAAGCTTACTTTGAAATAAAAGCAACCGAGCTTTGGGGAATGGAAGTTGACGGTGATTATAAGAAATATTGAGTCAAAACCACCCTTTAAATATGAAATCGACAGTGACTATCTACTCGTTGAAAAAGAGAGATTATAGGGATGTTAGTTGGATTAGAGAAATTATAGGGACGAATTAAGATTTCAATGGGAGTGATATGCTTTAAAAACATGTACGTATGCATAATTAACTTGTATTTTTTATTTTTAAGTAATGTTCATAAATTAATTGTACCTTATGCATGAAAATTTGTTTTCAAGAGAATGAGCCAAATGCTTTATAATATAGTATAGATAGATATAATTTAATTTAAGTTTAATAATAAAATAATTTATTTTTGGTTTAATATTATAAATTTTATAAAGATAATAATTAAGTATTCTGTTAGAATTTATTGATTATACTAATTATATTTTAGTTTTTTTATATTTAAAATGAGATATTTATCATGTATTTGATTGTGTTTATCTGCAGTTAGTTACACGAATTCAGATACGGGATGAAATCGTTTAGGGATGAAATCGTTTAGGGATGAACGTGTTTAAGATTTTTTAAGAGTTTTAAGAGTTTTTAAGAGTTTTAGCCAAATATTTTATAATATAGTATAAATATATTATATCATTTTTTGAAAATTGAGAAAGAGGAAGAGGCCAATGGGGGCAGAAACCCCCACGGGGACACAAATAATAACACGTGTATCCTTGTCATACAAAAATAGCCTGTCGTAACTTCACATATGAATAATAAAAGGATGTCCTTCAATTCATAATGAATAAACTCAAAGCAAAAATGGAAGCCATGAATCATTACAACCATCTACCACTCAACATCGCCGTCACCACTCACCGTCAGGTGGTTCCGATCACATTGTTCGTCGCCGTCCTCTGTCTCTGTTTAGTAATCGGACACTTACTGGACGAAAATCGATGGGTTAACGAATCCATCACCGCTATCATCATTGTAAATCATTCATTCATTCATCATTCATCATCATCATCATCATCATTAATCATCTGAAATCAATTGAATTGAATGAAACAGGGATGTATTGTTGGAACGATCATCTTAATCGTAAGTAAGTGGAAAAGCTCTCGTCTGCTCAGATTCGATGAAGAACTGTTCTTCATTTATCTTCTTCCACCAATAATCTTCAACGCAGGGTTAGTGTTCGTAATCACTGTTCGACGATTTCGTCTGGTTTTTCTTCAATTCTTCCCTTTTTAGCAGGTTTCAGGTGAAGAAGAAACAGTTTTTCCACAACTTTTTTCCGATCATGTTGTTCGGAGTTGCTGGTGTTTTCATATCAACATCTATCGTTGCCGCCGGTGAGTCGTCTTCTTATCGCTTCTTGTCCACTTTTACCCTAAAAATTGGGGACTGACACACCATAACAGAATTGAAATTCTAAGTTTTCTATAAAAAATACATTCATATGTTTACATGTTAATAGTTCCTTAAGAGAGGCAACTTTTGAATCATTAAGACTTGAATTTTGTTTTAAAAAAAAATTTGTCTTTTAATGATTCTAAAACCCTCTGAATTATTTTGTATCCCGGGCCTCCTTAGCCCTTCAACATTCTAATTTTATTGTAAACAATTACCAAATAATTATATTTCATTTTACACTATATCATGAGAGTCTCTTAGTCATTCTGACCACTTAATCATTTTGCATCAAACCATTGACCAATCGCCAATAGCCTCTAAGTTTACAAAGCAAGGTGTTTAGTCGTTGTAACAAGTTTTTTAAAATAAAGTTTTTATATTAATTATTTTATACGACGTTATTTGCGAGTGTCCTATAAAAATATGGGTTCACAGGTGTTTGTTTCTCAACGGTGTCCTATAAAATAACTAATATGACACTTTATATTAAAAATGTTCTAAAAGTTTGTTTAAACGTCTAAAAGCGTCATAGAAACCTATTGTAACATGTTTAGATACGATGCGTTTTGGTTTCGTCATATAAACCTAAATTCTGTAAAGTACTCTATATTTCTATTAGGAGGCTTAGACAATTTAGGTGTCTTGTAAAACCGATTTTGTTGTAATTATTCTACAACAAAATTGGTTTGGTTTTTACAGTACACCTAAAATTTCTAAGCCTACTTATTAGAATACGTTATAAATAGGTTTATAGAACCAAACCATAAAACGTCATATTTCAAAGTGTTACAATATGTTTATTAGACATTTTTTGGTGTTTTAACAAGTTTTTAGGCCCACTTTGAAAGTAAAGTGTCATATTAGCTATTTTACGGATTTTTTATGGAACATTTGTGTTTACATTATATTTTTTCAAATATCATAGTACAAAATAACCAATACGACATTTTATTTTAAAAATGGTTTAAGAAACTTGTTAAAACGTCTAAAAGCATCGTATGAACTTATTGTAATACTTTTAGATAAGACGTTTTTTTTCATTTCGTGCTATAAACTTAAGTCATACGAAGTATTTTATTAGGATACTTAAACATTTCAGACGTCTTATAAAACCAATTTTGTCGTATTGCGATGTGATTGTGGCTGATTTTGCAAATGTTGTACATTCTCTGTAGGTTGCCGTTGGCTGTTTCCAAAATTCGGGCTCGATGGCTTGACCATGAGCGAGTATCTTAGTATGATGGTCTTTCAAATCCAAGTCTTTTTACTTTTATAGTTACAACAAAATCGGGTTTATAAAATACTAGAAAATGTCTGAGTGTCGTATAGACTGTTATAAGGTAATTTTACATTACAGTACGTTTTTTTATTGTCTTGACAAGTTTTTTATGACACTTTTAAAATAAGATATCCGATTAGTATTTTATGAGACAAAAAATGTCATGATAGAGATTACAGTTTTCGTCTCTATGATTGATAATTCGGTGTTATTTTCATCCTTATAATTTACAATTTATTGTTGTTCAGTCCTTGTGGTTTACAATTCTATACTGTTCTGGTCCCTTTTATTTTGAAGGTAAGAATTGGTCCGGAGGACGAAATAGCAATAAATTGCAAACCATAGGAACGAAAATTGCAATTTCTAAACCAAAAGGATGAAAATCGGAATTATTAACAAACCACAAGGACTAAACTCATAATTTACATTCAGACAGTTTTAAATTCATATAAACCCGATTTTGTGGTAATGATCATAACCTCCTGAGATTCGACATTAATCGCCGCCACCGGTTTACGGGACTTTTTATAGGTATAGGGACCATTTTCTCATCTACAGATACTGTATGTACATTACAGGTTGGTCCAAATTAAGCTTCTTGTTATCTTTAGGGGTCGTTTACTAAACACCTACTTTGGTAAGTACTTACCGGTTCAATTACCGTAGCTAACATAACAAGACCGATAATCTTATCCGATAAGAGGGAAGACAAGGATCGAGAGTCTTATCTAGTAAGTGAGGATGATGAATCTTACCTGGTAAGTGCTTACCGGGTTATAAACGCCTACCATCAATCCATTTTAATGGTCGGAATTGTTACCTCATAAGGTAAATGGGAGTGATGACTCTTGTCGGTAAGCTGTTTGGTAAAAGACGGTCCTTAAAAGCATTTCAATAGTTTATGATAGAAATCTAAATTGCAGGTTTTGCATCAAGACGAGACTCCATTGCTATACAGCTTGGTTTTCGGCGAAGGGGTCGTGAACGATGCGACATCGGTCGTTCTTTTCAACGCGGTTCGAAAGCTCAATGCGAATACATTTCGTGGCAAGGCTGTTCTCCACATCTTACTAGATTTCTTGTATTTATTCTCTACAAGCACTGTTCTTGGAGTTGCCGTAAGTCAAATTTCTTCGGTCTAACTGTATCTACAACTTGATGGCCCAAAACTCACAGCTTATTTAATGGCTTAATGATATGGAAAGTGGCTTATTCAGATAGCTTCAAGTAGGAAGCTTTATGTAGAAAGCCAAGTTTTTTTCAAACATGTCTCTCCCAGTTAAGAAAATCGTTCCTTCTTCTGGCAGGCGGGTCTTGTGACTTCTTACATTCTTAGAGGCTTGGGCTTCGGAAGGTTAATACTCGAACATAAATTGAACCGAAGCTACCGTATTCATATAAGATCCTTTTTTGATGGCTTTGCTATAACAGACATTCGAGTGTTCGTGAAATTTCTTTGATGATTCTAGTAGCGTATTTGTCGTACATATTGGCGGAGGTAATTAACGATGCAAAACCAAACACCAAAACCATCGGACCAATTTCTATTTCCGGTTTTATGTCATCAAGGGTCGGTTTCCTTTGCTTTCTGCAGCTATTTGAACTCAGCGGCATTCTGACGGTCTTCTTTGCTGGAGTTCTGATGTCACATTATGCATGGCATAACGTTACCGAAAGCTCCAGAATCACAACCAGGTATGTATGAGTACGACCCGAGTTGTATAAGTTTCGTTTTTCTTTTCTTGAGTGGGGGACACTGCAACAAAAAATCGAGTTTATAGGACGTCAAAAGTGTTCGTGTCTTAATAGATAACTTTATTGCATTTATAGGATCAAACTTTTGTCTGTTATAACTAAAAGTGTTGTTGTAAATTTTTAAGACGTTTTTGGGCATTTTAACAAGCTTTTTAGAACATTTTTGAAAATGGTGTCCTATTAGCTTTTTATAGGACATTTTTGGACATCTTAACAAGTTTTTTATCACGCTTTTGAAAGAAAGTATCCTATTAGCTTTTTATAGGATATTCTAAGCATCTTAACAAGCTTTTTAGGACATTTTTATTTTTATAGGACATTCTTGAACGTCTTAACAAGCTTTTTAGGACACTTTTGAAGAAAAGTATCCTATTAGCTTTACATGACACTTTTAAGAAGTGTCTTGTAAACACATCTTTTTATAAGACATCTTTTCAAATAAGGTCCTAAAAAAGATAATAGGACATTTGGTTTCAAAAGTGTCTTAAAATGTTTGTTAAGATGTTCAAAAGCGTTATATAAACTCATTACAACACCTTTAGATATGATACACAAGTTTATAGTCTATTAGGACGCTGGGACATTTCTCTGGTGTCCTATAAATCCAATTTTTTTGCAGTGAGAATTCATAGAAATAGCGCATCTACTCCATGGGGTAGAGCCGTAGAGTTAAGGTCTGCATATATCCTACCACAGACACTACTTTTGAGTAAGATATACTGGGTATGTTTGGTTTGTTTACTTCCATTGAGAATCCTATGATTGCTTTGCAGGCATACTTTTGCAGCAATGTCTTTTATTGCAGAAACATTCATATTCCTCTATGTTGGAATGGATGCTCTAGACTATGAGAATTGGAAATTGAGCATATTAAGGTAAGGTGTGGTCTTCCAATCAAAATCGGGAATATGGTGGAATATCTTATCTGTCCTGGGTTCGATTTCAGGCGTCCACAACAATTATGGCCACTAAGTTTATCCTGGTTGATATCTTACAGTCACAATTTCCCGGGATTAGTCTGCTGAGATACCCGATAATTTCTTGTTGCAGTTTTTGGAAGTCGATAGGCGTATACAGCACCGTGATGTTCTTGATATTGCTTGGACGCGCTGCTTTTGTGTTTCCCCTTTCGGTTATATCTAATTACATGCATAGAGGCGAGGCGGGTTCATCAAAGATCACCGGAAAACACCAGGTAACTAAATGTTATCGTCATAGTAGTCACTATATCAAAACTGGCTTTATAAGATGTCAAATATCTCTAAGTGTCCTAATAAACTGCTTTATAAGACTTTAATTTATAGGACCAAACAGTTGTTTTTTAGTGTTATAATAAGCTTTTTAGGATACTTTTGAAATGAAGCGTTTTATTGGTCTCTTTGTATGACATTATCTGAAAAAGTGTCGTATAAAAAAGCTAATATACCATTTTATTTCAGAAGTGTCGTAAAACCAAATGCATGTTGTCAGGTTATTGTAACACTTTTATATATGACATACAGTTTACCTTCTGCTACTTGATTTAGGTAGTAATATGGTGGGCTGGTCTGATGAGGGGTGCGGTCTCCGTGGCTTTGGCATTCAAACAGGTACCTTTTCGTACATTTTCGTTGCGTTATAATTGTCATTTTTAAGGAATGGGAATGCAGAAGAACTGGAATAGGAATAGAATTTCCGTTCCCCCAATTTGGTCAAGTATAGAAGTTAACGGGTCTGGGCTATATGAAAGCAAACGGCATTATTCTCGTTTCTTATCCCTAAATACCCCCAACGAGATGCCCATGTCTTGCATTACTGTGACGATCAAATTTTTGTGTAGTTTACGCTCTCTGGAGTGACACTGGATCCAACCAATGCCACGATGATCACCACTACGATTGTGATTGTGTTATTCAGTACCATCGTAAGCCTTACTTTTCACTGTTCCCTGGTAATTCATTACAGTAAAATCGGTTTTATAGGATGCCAAATATGTCTAAATGTCTTTATAGAATGCTTAATATGAGTTAGGTTTACAAGAACAAACAATTGTGCATCTTATGTAAAATTGTTACAGTAAGTTGATGTGAGAATATGTGAAACCTCATATTAATCTCCAAAAGAGCCCTTGAGAAGAGAATGAAGATTCCGACATACATAGAGAGAAATTTGTCCAAGTCTAGCCGATGTGGGACTCTAACACGCCCCTCCAACAGAGGCTAGATGGGCACTTAATGTCCCAGAGTGTCTAAGAGGGGACTAGACGGGTGAAAGGCCAGGCGATTGCCCCAGAGGTCTGAGTCCCTAAAGTGGTAGACCTTGGCTCTGATACCATGTGAGAATATATGAAACATCAGATTAATCTCCAAAAGAGCCTTTGAGGAGAGAAGGAAGGTTCCAACATATATAGAGAGGAATGTGTCCAAGGCTAACCGATGTGAAACTCTAACAGTTGATAGGAGATTTTTCTGGGCGTTTTAAAAAGTTTTTCATGACACTTTAAAAGAGTAAATTACGTTTTCATCCCTGTGGTTTCGAAATTGCGGTTTTCGTTCTTATGGTTTCCAATTCATTGTTATTTTCGTCCGTGACACTGACTTCTACCTTAAATACAAGAATTCAACAAATAATTGTAAACCACAGGGGCAAAAACAACGATAAATTGTAAATCACAAGGGCGAAAAAAGTTAATAGGTTACTTTGTACGGATTATTTGAAAAAATGTCTTATAAAAACAGTATATTAGAACATTCAGATATATTTCGAGTCCTATAAATTCGATTTTGATGTAGCGGTTCCACTTTCTGATATGATATTTCGGGTATTCTTTTGTAAAACTTGTACATCTAACCGAAGAGGCTTCTATTTTCAGGTGTTCGGTCTCTTGACAAAACCGCTTATTAGTTATCTTCTTCCTAATAACGTAACTATGTGTGGTGTCCCCCGTCGAACTACATCTCCCAAAGAGGAAATGACGCTTCCGTTGCTTTCTTTCGAAGAATCGGCTTCTGAAAATCTCTCTAGGGCAAAGGAGAACATATCGATGTTAATGGAAAGGCCCGTTTACACGATCCACTCCTACTGGCGGAGGTTTGATGATACTTACATGCGACCTATATTTGGTGGGGCTCGTAGCAATGATTCTTCGAGCTAGAAAACCGAAAATAAAGCGCATCGTCATAAATACGAGATGAAATAAAAGACGGAAAACCGATCTACCAGAAAAAGTCACTCACAAAAGAGATTTGCCAAGAGGGGATGATAGATCCACTCCTGCAAAAGTTGGGTTTGCAGGACGCCAAAAATGTTTAGGTGTCATAATAGATTGTTTTATAGGATTTAAGTTTATAGGACCAACCAATAAAACGTCATACCGAAGTTGTTGCAATAAGTTTAGATAATGTTTTTGGGCGCCTAAACAAGTTTTTAAAGATATTTTATAATAAAGCGTCATATTAGCTATTTTATATGACACTACTTAGAAATGTGTTCTATAAAAAAAGTGTACCATAAATGATAAAAAGACGTGTTTATAGGTCACTTCTCAAAATATTCTCAAAAATATGTCATATAGAAATAGCTACTACGACACTTTATTTTGGGAATGCTTAAAAAAACTTGTTAAAACGTCTAAAAACGTCTTATAAATTTAGTACAACACTTTCAGATGCGACGTTTTATTGTTTGGTCCTATAAACTTAGATCTTGTAAAAATGGTGGATCATGATCTTCACAGAATCACAGAGCGGATGCACTTTTAAGATGGATCAAAGGCCCGTAAAGTTGTTTTGTGTGTTTTTAGTCGAATCTCACCGTTTTGGGGGCGTTTTTAAGTTGTTTTGGGTTAAAATCGATGGATTTTGCAAGTTCTTTTTGTTGATTTTGAGAGGCTTTTTTGGTTTCTTGGTTGATTCAGATGGACGTTTTCAGATGTTTTGGTTGATGTTTCTTGAATTTGCTAATATCACTGAGCACCGTTCAATAAGATATGCACGTAGTCGATCGCCATAAAATAGCGAATCTTGGCATGTTGGTTTATGACTTACGGTCCAAAAAACGTACCAAATTTTGGGTTCTTTTTTATTGACATCAACAAACACGAAAACATAAATAGTTCGATATCGATCGTAACCGAGCAACTGAAGCTCGTTCGATTGAAAACATATGACAATTAAGGAAGAAAGACAAATGGGTTTAGCATTTTGGTGTGGATTTAATGCCACATTTCTTGGGTAAGGCCATGGCCGCTGCAGGGTTGGCCCCGAACTTGGCGAGTTGCGGCTTGTAGCGGCAGAGGCACGGCAAGTTGACCCGATGCATGACCTTGCAACAACGGTAGGTGGGCGGTGGAGGGTGTGCACCGGTAATTGCCGGAAGACATTCTAAGAGATCCGAGGTGGCTACATTGCAAACAGTGGTGGTGGCGGCAGCGGCGGTGGTGGCTGATACGACGAATCCGATTGTGAACACACAGATTAGGCCCAGGAGAACATTCCTTTTGATGTCTGCCATTGTGAATTTTGTGTTCTCTAAGTATTGGTGGATCCGTGGATGCAGGAATTTATAAGGGGAAGTGAAGTTTAGGGTCCGTGGTGTTTGTTTGTCTTCTAGTTCTAGGACGTCCGTGACCAAATATACAAAGGTTACAATGTGCCCGTGAACATGATAGCATCTTTAAAAATCAAAATCAACAATTAAAAGTTAAAATATCTGTAAAAAAATACGTTCAGTTTTAACCGTCTTTTTAATTTATATTGATTATTTTATTAAAATATTAAATATGATCTGTAATGATTGTTTATATTATAATATTTATTTAAATAAAGTATTAAAAAGTTAAAATCTCAAAAAATATATATATATCTTACTTCAATAACTACTCTGTTTTGTATTATGAAATCAACTCGAGGATGATGTCAGATTTGTAGTAACGATTGTGGCAAAATCTTTGCTCTTTAAAACTCAGGGAATCATAACCGCTCTTGTATTAAGTGCGAGAATAATTAGTGGGCAGATAATCGTACAACGGTACTACTTACATGGATGAGAAGACAACTCAAAAACACTTCGGAGTCAGAAGCCCTTCAAAATAGACTTTTGAATAACCAAGTGAAGAAGGTTTTTAAATGAACATGCCCTTATATATATACATGTGTGTGTAGACTTGGGATCATGTGAGACCAATGATTTTTCGTGAGACCCGTAAGACCAATTCTCAACCCTTGGATTAGATTTACAATCGTCAGATCTGAACATTTATAAACGCCACGAGACTTCTCACTAATTACGAAATTGCCATCTTGCAACTTTGCAACCATTAGATCATTAATTCATAAATTTGATCAATGAACATAAATTGGTCTTACGGGTCTCACGAAAAACCCTTGGTCTCACGTGAACCCAACCCTGTGTGTGTATGTATATATACAGGGGTAAGATCTTTTGTTAACCAAGAATATGATGTTAACTTTGTAAACTTATTGGACCAACAATATTAATCCTTTAGTAGAGGTTACTTTAAATGTTTGATTTAATGATGAAGGGAAAATATGTAAATTTGATGTGAAAGTTACTTTTATGGTATTTAATAAGATGTTACAAATTTTCAAGTATAAGTTACTTTTATGGTATTTAATGATGTTCATAGGTGTTCATATGAATATGTTCATGATATAAGGTATTCATAAAAAATGTGTACATAACTATAAGACGTTCATAACTATATGGTGTTCAATAAGATCTAACGAACATAATCACATTGTCCATATTAACGAACATAATCACATTGTTCATATTAATAAACATAATTACATTGTTCATAAGGGAACTCATGTTCATATAGAGAGGGATGCCCATGTGTATACTAATTTCCATAATAATGGAGATTTTTTTATTAATGACAATACATTAATGTTCATATAAATCAGATAGAGATGAAATTGTTTAGGAATAAACGGGTTTAAGAGTTTTAGCCAAATGATTTATAAGATAGTATATATATATATATATATATATATATATATTAATTGTTTTTAATTCTCTGGTAAAATAAATGTTTGTTCCAGTGTTTGATGTGTCGTGCATGCACAAAGTGTTTGTTGCCAATAATTCATCTCACAAATAATTACAACACATTTAATATTTTATTATTTAATTTTTGCGTATAGTATTATAATAAAAATTAGACCAAATTTACGGATTTGGTCCTTTAAATATATTAATTTTTATGGATTCGGTCCTTTATCTTTATTTATTACAAAAAAACTCTTCACGTAATAAATAAATATAAGAAACAAAGCCCGTAACTTTTAACGTATTTTAAGGATCAAATTCGTAATTCACTCTAAAAAATAATTTTTAACGTGGAAACAAATTAATGATTATATTCTTTTTCTTTAGGGTAAATTGCATGGAAAAGTAACGTATTTTAACTTGATTTTTATTTTGGGTAACGTAATTCAAAACTTTCATTTTGATATCTAAAATGTAAAGTTTTAAACATTTAAGTACTCACATAACCGGTTGAAAACTAATTTAAGATTTAAAAAAAAAACTAATTTTAGATTAAAAAAATATCATGTCACTAACTAATTTTATCACTTATAGTGGCCACATCTAGGGGTGTGCAGAAAATCAACCAATCCAATTAGAACCGACCGATCATAACTGGATATCCAATTGTAATTGGATCCGATCGGATTGAAAATTTCAACATCTAATTTGTATCGGTCGGTTATCGGATGACAGTCTAAAACCGACCAAAATCGAACCGAACAGATCAACATCCAATTAATCATCTGATGACCATCCAGTTGTCCATCCAACTATTATCTAATTATCATCCAATTGATTTATTTTCAGAATGCTTAAATCGGAATTTGTTTTATGGGAGGCTTTGAATTTTTAACTTCTCTTGTGTTGGTTTTAACACATATTAAAAGTAATTAATTAATTTGTATTATTGTTAGAGGATTGTATTGAATTAACACACTTGATGGATCTAATCTCATTGGATCATCCATCAGATATCCAATAAAAATATCTAATGAATGGAATCAAACCGATCTAATCATCCATTGGATTGGATCGGATCGGATCGATTGACAAAATCCAACATCCAATAAATGATTGAATCGATTCAATTCCTCTCACATTCAATAAATATCAACCGATAAACAGTCTTAATCACATCCTCCACATATTGGCTTCCATTTCTCACCACATACAAATACAAATACAAATAAAAAGCCACGTTTTTGTCATTTTTATATAATGATATCATTCAATTTAAAAACATAAAGAGATCACATGGTATTTTTATTATCTAAATATTTATTAATTTTTACAGAAAATATATATTTTATTTAATGGATGATTAAAAAAACCTTGAATTATATACCAATTTATAATTTTATCCAAAAATTTATTTGGTTAAATTTTAAATTATATACATACATTACATATATAAGGGTTTAATCAAATAAGAATTAATTAATTTGTGGTAACTGTGGAGTCTAATGTGAGCCAATCAGTTAAGATAATTAATATTATTCTTAAAATAAAATAGAAGAGTAAATTAGTAATCTGAGTTGATTATTCAATTTACTCTAATTAGTTTAATGTTCCAATTTATTTTAATTAGATTAATTGCTTTATTTTATATATATACACACACGAACACACAGGAACCAAAATCCGGTGGCCTTCTCCGACAAGTGATGACCTCCTCTGATCATTTTGTCTGACCAATACGCCGTTTCCGACGACCATTTCCCTTCCCCCATCCTGGCTACTGACCACCATCTACATCTACATATCTACATACAACATATGTATCATAGTGGTACCACAGTTGGTATCATAGTAGTCTCGAAATTTACTTGGTGTGTTTTGGATATCACATTGTATGTATTTTGGATATTCTATTGTGTATCTTGGTGTATTTTGGATATCACATGTGTTCGTTGAAATAAGGTTTACCGGAAGCAGGAGAGAGAGACAAAGGAGAGATATAAAAATTTAAATACCTAAAATGCCATTTAATTAAAAATTTAAGTCAAATTACCAAAAATACTAATTTTTTAGTGTATCAATTAATTTATAGTTGAAATTGGATCTCACAGTTATCACAAACTAACCAGTTCTCCCTTGAAGAAACCTTACATATACATATACATATACACACACAAACATATATATATATATATATATATATACATATAGGGTTGGGTTCACGTGAGACCAAGGGTTTTTCGTGAGACCCGTAAGATCAATTTATGTTCATTGATCAACTTTATAAGTTAATGATCTAATGGTTCAAAGTTGCACGGTGACAATTTTGTTATTATTGAAAAGTCTCGTGGCGTTTATGAATGTTTAGATCGTCAGATTGTAAATCTAATCTAAAGGTTGAGAATTGGTCTTACGGGTCTCACGAAAAACCTTTGGTCTCACATGATTCCAAGTATATATATATATATAGAGAGAGAGAGAGAGAGAGAGAGAGAGTGTGTGTGTGTGAGAGAGAGAAATGTGAGTTATTATGCAACTCTTTACATTTATACAACCAATACAATTCAATCTCAACTGTCCATTTAATTTGATAAATATATGATTTCATAAAAGTTTGTATTGTTTCCTACTATAAAGTATTAATCATAATTAATAAACTATAGTCATCCTCCATAAATATTTAAATCATAATAAATGAACGTTCATCATTTTCATAAATATCTCAATCAATTAGGTTATATTAGTTGTACAAATAAACATGATTACATTTGAAATATACCATATATATATATATATATATATATAAATTAAAATGGCTAACATAAAATAATGAAATATGAGGAGTAAAGTAAGCGTTAGTGCTTTCAACTAACGGGTAGGAAGACGTATTATAATTAAAATAAAATGTGATAATTTGTTAAAATATTAATAATTTTTAATTCTTTATTCTTTTATGTGATGTGCATTTTATGTAAAATGTTTTTGGTTCTAAACAATTTGCTTCACTAGAAAATTTGAAATACAATATGAAAGGTTAGATTCTTAAACATATATGACCATTTTATGCATTGAACATTAATAAAATGATCACTTTTCAAAGTTTTTTTCTTTACAAAATGACCACCAAAATCGATTTTGACTATAAGGTGCGGACGAGTCAACGTGTATATCATTTGGTAGACAAAAATCATATATTCTATATGAAAATGGGCAAACCGTCCTCAAAAAGTTGATTTTGACCTCTATTGTTGCGTCATAAGTTGTCTTAACTAGAAGACAAAATAAAGGTCAAAATCGCCCCCATGGGCCGATTTGGAGAAAATGAGGACGATTTCACACACACACACACACATATATATATATATATATATAATATCTTATTTTTGTTTCTCAAATGATATACATGTGGGATTCATCCGTACTTTATAGTCAAAATCGTCTTTCAAGGGCGATTTTGATAGTCATTTTGTGAAAAATCTACGAAAAGTGGTCATTTTGTTAGCTTATCGTGTATAAAATGGCCATTTTGAATATTTTCTCATCCTTAAATTCAATCTTTGAGAAGGTTATTTAGTTAAATATTAAGGTTGTATATGGACTGGATTAGCTGGTTTTGAACAATCTAACTCGTTTGGGTTGGATTGGTTGAGTCATGACTTAATGACAATACTACAACATGGTTCAATAATGGCATGGAATCGAAATCGATGGGATGGGGTGGGGTGGGGTGGGGTGGGGTGGGGTGGGGTGGTCCAAATAAAGATGGAGATTCCAATTCATACCAACCAAATGGGTGGTCAAATCCATCAAATTTCATTCTAATTTTTTCAAAGTCAAATTTCTTAGATAAATTCCAATTTCACTAATTTTCATTCTGAAAACCAAACGTCCCCTTAGTGTATAACTCCCTTTAAAAGCTTATTGAATAAACCATTTTCTATATCATTAACCATTTTCACAAAATGACCACCAAAATTGATTTTGACTATAAGGCATGGATGAGTCCACGTGTATATCATTTGGTAGACAAAAATCAGATATTATATCTAAAAAATGGGCAAATCACCTTCAAAAAGTTGAATTTGACATCTATTGTTGCATCATAAGTTGTCTTCACTAGAAGACAGAATAAAGGTTAAAATCGCCCCATATTTGGAGAAAATGAGGGCGATTCATATATATCATATATAATATCTAATTTTTGTTTTCCAAATGGTATAGATGTGGGATCCATCCATACCTTATCGTCAAAATTGCCCGGTCATTTTGTAAAAAAATCTCCGAAAAATGATCATTTTGTTAGTTTATCGTGTATAAAATGGTCATTTTGGGTATTTCCTCATCCTTAAATTCAATCTTTGACGTTATTTAGTTAACTATTAAGATTGTATATGGGTTGGATTGGATTGGTTGAGTCATGACTTGATGACAATACTACAACAACATGGTTCAATAATGGTATAGTGATCGGTATCGATGGGGGTGGGCGGGGGCTGGGGGTGGTCCAAGCAAAAATGGAGATTCCACTTTTGTTGGAAGAATCCATTCCAATTCATACCAACCAAATGGGTTGTCAAATCCATCAAATTCCATTCTAATTTTTTCAAAGTCAAATTTTTTGGATAAATTCCAATTTCACTAATTTTCATTCTGAAACCAAACGTCCCCTTAGTGTATAACTCCCCTTAAAAGCTTATTGAATAAACCATTTTCTATATCATTAACTCACCACCCAACAATCATATATGATTGGTCAAATAAGCCGTAAGTTCCATCAATCTCATTAACCTGCTAACAAACAATGAAAAACCAATCAAACATCAAAAACCGAGTTTTTTAGCATCCCTATAAAGTATAAACAATCATCAAAAGGGGTCATTTGATTTATTTATTTTAATAACAAAACGAGTCCTTTTTGTAATTTCAATATTATACATACATTTATTATATCTATATACGAACCCCAACCCACCCCACGTCGTCAACCGACCAAAGACCATGATCCTGATATGGTTGAAACTTGCTCGACTGGAATTCATCGAAAGAGACGCGTGTAAAGATCATCCCCACCTCCGCGCGTACGGCCAACACCACAATTTGTCCATCACAAAAAAAAAGAAAAAAAGAAGATTAAAATGATAATGGCGAGACAATCGTTTTTCTTAAATGGCTTGCTCTTTCCCACATTCATGGCAAGATGGTCCGTACCCGAAAGTCGCTGTGCTCTTCTTTGCTCTTTTCTCAAGCAAAATACCCAATAACCCTTTTCGATTTCCAATCCAATCTCCCCCACTTGACTTCTTTCTTGAATAAGCTTGTTTCTTGAATCCAATTCAATCAAACAGTCGAAAAAACCAACTGATTTCTACTGGTATGTTTTGCTATTATCCTTTCGATTACTGATGATCCCCCAAATCTTGATTCTTGATTACTGATGATCCCCCAAATCTTGATTTCGACTTCTGGCAAATGGGTTTTGTAGATTTTCTTGATTTGGAACTGGAATTGGAATTAGTACAAGTTTTTGGGAGATTCTTTTCTTCGATAAGGAAGTTGAAAAGGTGAAACTTAACTTGGGGAAGAACAGAAGCAGATGTCTAAATTCGAAGGGGTTCTTGTTTCTGATCATTGGCTTCAAAGCCAGTTCACACAAGTTCAACTTCGTACACTCAAATCCAAGGTTTGAACCCCATTTCAATCGGCTTTGATTTGTACCCTTTTGTGCTATTTGATTCTTCTGTTGTATTGATGATTTTTAGATTGACTTTGTTTGATAATCTTTACAACCTAAGATTGGTTCTTGAATCTGTTTCTTGGCTTTTTGGTTAACGTGTAGTTTCTATCATTAAAGAATGAAAATGGTCAAGTTACTGGTCAAGGTTTGCCTATCTTGCTTGCAAAGTTGAAGCCTTTTAATGAGATTTTCAAGGAGAAGGAAATAGGGGACTTATTATGTGAATCTGGTTTGGATATGAGCAAAGAAATGGAATTTGAAGGCTTCTTGAGGGTAAATATCATTTCTTGAGGTCTTGTATTTTTGGAAAGGGGACTAATCCCGGCAAATTGGGACCACAAGAAATAAGCTCTGATAAACTCAGTGGCTACAATTGTCGTGTATGCCTTGGAATCGAACCCTGGTCAGATCCCAGGACCTCAACGACTATGCTACAACCCTTGTGGTTCTTGTCGGGTAACATTTTTCTGGAAGGGTGTCCGAGGCTATGCTTGGACTAATCCCGGAAAATTGTGACCGCAAGAAATCAACCCTGATAAACTCAGCGGCCACATTTATTGTGTACGCCTGGAATCGAACCCTTGGCAGATGGGATATTCCACCACATCCCCGAGGACCTCAACCACTACGGCACAAGCCTTGTGGTTTATATTTATGATTTTGCAATCTGCATTGTGGGTTAATTGATTGCATTTTGTGGGCAGGCTTATTTGAATTTGCATTCCCAAGCTGCTGCAAAATTGGGTAATTCGAATAACTCATCTTCGTTTCTTCAAGCAACAACCACGACTTTACTTCATACGATCGATGAATCAGAGAAAGAATCTTATGTTGCTCATATCAATAGCTATCTTAGAGATGATCCATTTATGAAGCAGTTTCTTCCCATAGATCCAGCTACAAATGCTTTGTTTGAGCTTGCTAGAGATGGGGTTCTTCTATGGTATTTAATCAAGACTTTCTTGATTCTGTTTTTGGTCAAAGTTTGAGTCCACCGTTTGAGATTATTTGAGCTTTAATGCAGTAAACTCATCAATGTGGCCGTGCCCAATACGATAGATGAACGTGCTATCAATACAAAACGAGTACTTAATCCGTGGGAAAGAAATGAAAATCATACACTTTGCCTTAACTCTGCTAAGGCTATAGGATGTACGGTAGTAAACATTGGCAACCAAGATCTGGTGGAGGGAAGAGTAAGCTTTTAGGCTTTATTCAGAGATATATTCATATGTGATGCTTTTAGTTTTGATAACTTGACTTTTTGTCTTTCATTGAATTGGCAGCCCCATTTGGTTCTTGGCCTAATTTCTCAGATTATAAAGGTAGCTTGTTAATCCCCTCTTATATATAGAATAATTATTGGTTAGAGTCAAGTTCAAACGAGAACGGTGGCCAAATAAGAGAACATGAGAACGGCCACATCACATGTGAATTTACACTAAACTCGCGTGTAAAATCACATGTGATTACGCTTGACCTAGGTCGCGGGTCAAGTTGCCCGTGCGCCCATGCATTGACCATGTTTCGTAATGGGATGTGATTCAGTGCAAATACACATGTGAATGGGCCGTTCTTGTATTCTCTTGTTTTTGACCCTGTTCTCATTTGATCGGTTATTGGTTCTAGTATGTAATTTTTAGCCACAAAAACAGTTAATATGATTCTTGATCTCATATTGCTTGTGATTTTGGCATCTTCAGATTCAACTTCTGGCTGATCTCAACCTTAGAAAGACACCTCAACTTGTGGAATTGGTGGAGGACAACAATGTAATTGTCAGTCTTTCTTTGTATTCGTTGTTTTGTTTATTTGTGAATCGTTTGTATTCACAGAACACAATGTTGTTATGAACCATTTTGCAGGATGTTGAGGAGCTTTTGGGATTAGCACCTGAAAAAATCCTGTTAAAATGGATGAACTTTCACCTTAAGAAAGCTGGTTACAAGAAACCCGTTACAAATTTCTCGTCTGATCTCAAGGTAACTCCTTTTATGTTGTTATATTGACATTTTTTTTAATTGTCTTCATTTTTAACAAGCCAATAGGATACCGTTTGTGTTGCTCCATTATGATTCCATTCTTTATAAAAACAAATTATAAAAATAATTAAATTATATTTTTATTAATTGATTATTACAACATAAATGTTTTTAACATTTTTAAAACATTATTACATACAATCCTACGAAATCCCGTGAAACACCAAGCACCCCTGAAGGATTTCAAAATCTTTCAATGAATTCCTGAGATTTCAACTCCAAGAAATCCTTCAAACCAAACATGGGATTGGAATGGAATTCAATTCCAAATCCCTCCAAATCCAAATCCAATCCTGCAAACCAAATGGGACCGTAGGGCATGTTTGTTAGCAGCTTAATGAGCTTAATGGGACTCGCAACTTATTCGGTCAGCTATACTCGACTGTTTGGTGTGGCTTAATGATATAGGAAGTGGTTATTCAGTAAGCTTCTAGGGGGGAGCTATATGCAGAAAGCCAAGTTTTTTCCAAACATGTCCCTCCAAATTAAAAAACACGCTTCTTCCATCTATGAAAATACCCTCCTAAACAAAAATCATCCTCATTTATACAGACAAAGTAATTCACACAGACAACTTAACATAATCTCGAACAATTGGTTTACCAATGTCTTACTCTTGCAGAAAACCCAAAAAACCCAAATGTCCCAAGAGAAGCGGTTGGAAGTTCAAAGCAATTGACAAAACTACCCTTATATCCTACAAATTTTAAGAGAACTTTTACTTGACAATGCATAGATGTTGAAAAAAGTGCTGAAGTGATTAAGTGAGGGTATTATGTCAAGAGTGTTTTCTATTGCCTCTAAACCATCAAGGGAGGCTTTCTTTTATAACAAACAAGTCCCACACTTAAAGATTCAGATGGGTTTCATTAAGCTCATCTTGAGCTTAACAAACAACTTCTAACACTATCATTTGCTACATTTGTAGGATGGAGAAGCTTATGCGTATCTGCTTAATGTTCTTGCTCCAGAACATTGCACACCAGCCACTCTGGACACCAAAGATCCTGCCGAAAGGGCAAATTTGGTACTTGAGCATGCTGAGAAAATGGATTGCAAAAGATACTTGGCTCCCAAAGATATTGTTGAAGGCTCGACAAATTTAAATCTTGCATTTGTTGCGCAAATTTTCCACCAAAGGTCGGAGATGGTGTCGTTTGTTGGGGAAAACCGCATAAAAAGGAAAAAACTGAGGAACACCCTGGTAACCCCTTATCTGGACGGTATGCACATGTGCATACAAGTAATTTGTAAACATTTGTTCCGATATGCACATGTTCATAACGTGCACACGTGCATAAAAATCAAGCAACAACTTCAATTACTTGTATGCACATGTGCAATACCTTCCAGATGAATGATTACCAGGGTGTTGCTCAGTTTTTCATTTTTTTTGGGGGGGCTTTCCCTTAACCTCCCTCGTCGTTTGTTACCGTTACATTTGTAGTATGATAGCGTTTTCAACTTTTCTAACACGTGTACGTCTTGATGATATATCTATCCTGCAGGAACGGTTTGTCTACCGATAGCAAAAAGATATCTTATGCTGAGATGATGACCGATGATGTACAAATGTCAAGAGAGGAAAGATGTTTCAGACTTTGGATCAATAGTCTTGGAATATCTTCATACGTGAATAATTTGTTCGAGGACGTCAGAAATGGGTGGGTGTGCATAAAGATCGTATCTTTTTGTTACTTGCATGATAATACTTCTTCATATTTGAACAATTTGTTCATATCTTGGGATTTCTTCATATGTGAATAATTTGTTTGAGGATGTCAGCATTGGTGGATGTGCATAAAGATCGAAACTTTGTTACTTGCATGATAATACTTCTTCTTTACGTGTTTTTTGTTCATGGGTTTTTCGCAGATGGACACTTCTAGAAGTTCTTGATAAGGTTTCTCCGGAATCGGTTAATTGGAAGCATGCGACGAAACCTCCTATTAAGATGCCATTTAGAAAAGTCGAGAATTGCAATCAAGTTATTAAGATTGGAAAGCATTTGAAGTTTTCCCTTGTGAACGTAGCGGGAAATGACTTTGTACAAGGGAATAAGAAACTTATACTCGGTATAATGACGTATTAATCTTCGACTTGTTTCGTAGGCCGTTTTCGATGTACAGAAACCAATTTTGTGTACGTTAATTGATTGCAGCTTTCTTGTGGCAATTGATGAGGTTTAATATGCTTCAACTTTTGAAGAACTTGAGATCCCGCTCTAACGGGAAGGAGATAACAGACGCTGATATTTTGAATTGGGCAAATAAGAAAGTGAAGAACACTGGGAGAGTTTCTCAAATGGAGAGTTTTCGGGTTGGATTTGAATCTTGTTTCTCTATGGCTCGCTTTTTATCGATCGTATTTGTCGTCACAACCTATTGCTCATCTTGTTTGATGATTGTGCAGGATAAGAGTCTCTCGAATGGGATATTTTTCCTCGAGCTTCTTAGTGCAGTTGAGGCTAGAGTTGTCAACTGGAACCTTGTAACCAAGGGTGAAAGTGGTATGGTTTTTTTAGGGGAAAGTTCGAAGAGAACCATGAATAATTATTCATAATGAAGAACCTTGAATATTTCAGTCAATCGCAAGTAGCACTTTAGCAACTTGGCAAATCCACATTTTTTATTTTAATATTATCCACACAGGAACAATTTGGCGAGTTGCTAAATTGGTATTTTATGAATATTAGATTCATAAAAAGTAGATTTCGCAAGTTGCTGAAGTGCTACTTATGAAATCTTGGCTATTTCGGTCAATTGATTAAAAAAGGGGCTATAAATGGAAATGGGGAGTCTAGAATGACTATTTCGGACAATTTCCCCTCTAAATATTCATGGTATCATATATTTTCATCATGAATAAATTTTGTGATGAATATCTATCACCACATTCGTTACGAATAATTCGTTCCCATGATCTCAAAATATTTCGGTTCTCATTTGAACGTGCCCTGGTTTCTTTAATCATAAAAACTTTATACAAACTATCAAATCCGTCTTTTAGTCGCTAATTTCATGATACGGTGGTGTTAACAGAAGAGGAAAAGAAGCTGAATGCAACTTACATTATCAGTGTCGCACGAAAGCTTGGGTGCTCAATTTTCTTGTTGCCTGAAGACATCATGGAGGTAAATCGAAACTATTCACAATGAATATATGTATAAATGTGTATATATAGAGGGAGGTTCAGGGGAAACTATTCATTTGGATGGTATGTGCATGTACATACAAGTAATTGAAGTTGTTTCTTGGTTTTTATGCACGTGTACATGTTATGCACATTTGCATGCTGGACTAATTGCTTAGAAATTACTTGTATGTAAATGTGAATACCATCTAGATGAACGGTTACTAGGGTGTTCCTTAGTTTTTCGTTTTTTTGCGGTTTTCCCTGAACCATATATATATAAGATAAGAATCGGAAACTAATACCATTGGGGAAACAGGTGAACCAGAAGATGATACTTATGCTCACAGCCAGCATTATGTACTGGAGCCTTCAGCAATCTTCAACAGACGAATCCGAATCATCTCCTTCTTCTATCGCTGCAACTCCCGAAGCATCCCCGGCACCTTCTATGAACGGGGACGAAGAGAGCTTCGTGGGCGGTGAAATGACCAATTTGTCCATCGATGATGCAGCCTCTGATACGACCGTCTCTTCGAGTCAAGAGAACGACACTTTGTTACAGTAATATGTTACTTATATTTGTAAGTAAAAAAAGGGAAAGGTAAGAAAGTAAAGATAAATTCATTGAAAAAAGCTAGATAGAAAGGGAACATATGATGATGATGATATATACTGAGATAGATTTGTTTCTGTTTTTTGGTGGAAATTTTGTTTTGGCTTATTGAATAAGCTGTACATTCTTTCATGCAATATTCATAAAGTATTTTGTTGGCCCACTTGTAGATATGTTCACAATTACATATGTTTAAGTAGAGTTGCATAAAGAAGTCCAAGTCTGAACATGAGCTGAACCTCGTAAGCTTGAGCCCAAGCCCGGTTAAAGCCCCCCGACGCTAAAAAACCAGATCGGATGCTCTTTCAACATAAAAGCCCGAGTCGTTTTTGCTTACTGAAAAACGAGTTTAGAGGGTTGGGCCTTGTACATCTCTGTGTTTCGGTGTATATGAAATGGTCACTTCAACAATTTGGAAAAAAGTTTGAATTAAATTTGATCGTATTATGAATTCATATAATACATACAGATTCCAGGTTAATGAAAAAAAGACCTCGTTTGGTCTGCAGATCTGTTGGTGATTTTAGTGTGATTTTTGATTTACAATCCGGTGATAAGTCAAACATAGGTGAGTTAGGAGGTGTTAAGTGCACACTCACAAATGATGACTCTATCATCTTAGATCGCCATAAGTCGAGGGTCAAGGGAGTGCACCCCCTTGCAAGGTTGTAGGGGCAGCACCCTTAGCGGGGTCCAAGGGGTAGAGCCCCTGGCAGTGGTCCTATTGGTTCCTATGTGGTCATGTTGGTTCCTATGAAGAGCCTTTGATCCTTAAGATCAGAGCCCTTGCTCCATGTAACCAGAGCCTCTTGTTCTCTAAAGAGCTTCATCTGAGTTCTAGATTCTAAGTATTAGGACTAGAGTCTCTGGCGTTATAAGATAGATGATTTGAGCCTCTAGGCCCCCTGCATAGAGCATTTGGTCGTGTTTTCTCTTATGGACTCGTTGCTTATGACTCTGGGTTAGTTGTAACCGCTTTTAAATCTTATTCGTTAACAGTCATGAATTCATAGTTCTGTCTTAACTGTTTAACTGCTCATAACCATCGATCTCTCATATAAACGTGTCAACGAGAAATCTGGCATAAGAACTCAGTCTTACAGCCTTTTAATATTAATAGTTTCATTTGGATGATCTCAATACTAAATTCGTGATACCGAGGGCAATAAGGGTCGAATTATGTCTTAATTGAGATTTTAGATGTCTTTTTGCTCCAACAGATTTTCCAAATTGAAAAAAGTAGGAGAGTGTAAAAATCTCCAAATCTGGAGATCACCCTAAAAATGATTACAATATGAGAGAAATATTTTTTTAATATATTTCCAACAATAGAAACTGTAAGTTGTATGTTATACCCACGACACGTGTTACTCAGATACATTCGTAAACCTAAAGGGTCGTACACAAAGAACACGTATGCTTCCACTAAATAAAGAATCTAAACATGTGTATCGTTTTGTGATTATTATAATTGCAAGGTTTAATCTATAAATATGTATGTAATTATCTTAAATGTTTTTAGATAATTATATAAAATATTATTAGATAAATAAATAATCATTTTAGATAATGATTAAGCCTTATTAAGAGTTATGGTCAATCTCGAAGACTGACCATATAAATAAGGCTTAGGGGCTAAACCAAAGAAGAGAATTGAGTTCTGATAACTAGTTGTAACCTCAAAACCCTTACGATACAATTATAGAATTAGGATTCTTTGGGCTAGCATCCGGTGGGAGTTCCAAGCGTGTTCGTGTGTGGACAATCGATGGAGGAAACCTGATTTGGTTTCTTAGTGCTACATCAAAGTTTCAATTTCAACCACAAGGTAAATATATTAAACACCATATGGTTTGTGTAGATTCGTTTCAATTGTCAATGGAACCGACTTTGAGTTTTATTTAGAATTTTTTTTTCTAAACGTTTTTGTAATCGAGTTCTGTTTTTCCGCTGCGTTTTATCCGGTTATTTTCACAAACTAAAACCCAACAGAAACTTTGAAAATAAATATTTATAGAGAAAATAAATATTTTATTAAATGAAGTATTTCATCCTCTTAAGGGGTTGTTTGAGATTGCTTATTTGAAATAATTTATGTTTTTCTATAAAAATACTTATCAACTTATTATAAGTTAGAGGAGTTTAACTTCTTCAAAAACTCCTCATTATCGGTTTGACGCCGATATAAGTTGTTTATCAAAACATTCAGAAGTGCTTATTACCGGTATCACGCCAGAATAAGTTAATAAAAGTTATTTTTATAAGCAATATCAAACACCCCTAATTTTGGAGAATCTAAAAGGTGTTTAAAATGACAAAGATTTAAATACAATGGAAATGCAAAACTTTTAATCAATGACAATTGACAAATAGTTCAGGGACTATTTTTGTAACTTCTTCGAAAATTTAACTTTATTTCCCACCACCCCGTTGTTGCCAAAACAGAAACCGTCAGACTTCCGGTCATCCTCGAGTTCCACGGCAGCAACCGTCATCTTTTACGCTGATACCGCCATAGATACAGGTAATCTGTGATGGTGTTTTCATTATATATATGTGCGTCTTAACCCTAGTTTGCAATAGAATCTCCAACTAACGCACATTCCCTTTTGTCCACTGGAAATTGAGTGAAACTTCCAAGAACTTGCTGCTCTTAACTTATGATGATTTTTTTTTGAATTCTGAGACATGCAGGTACGATAATGGTGAAGTTTGTGGCTATTGTATCAATTATCATCCTCTCATTCTTAGTTTTTTTCGAGATCAGCAGTATAAACATCTGATTTATATATTGAATTCATCCTGTTTACCACTTTGTTATAAACCCTTTTAACTTACCATTGCATGCGATTGTTGATGTGCGGGTAATTCTAGAATATGATCTCGCCATTGCAATTTCATAAGGAATGTGATTGTGTGAATCTGTTATTGGCTTGAAGTTGGAGAAAAACTAAAATCTTATTCCGTCTTTCAAAGATCAGCAGTACGAACAGCTGAATCAAATAGTTCATTTCTTGATTTCGCCCGTCTTAATTGAAAATTCTATGATGTTATAAATCATGTCAACACTTGCTATAGTACAAGAATACTAGTATGGGAGCAAATAGCAATCAATTACTTATTAATTGATTTCGCTTGCCTCTTCATCAATTTCTGTAAATCTGTTAGAGCTTTCTTACATAATATATAGTGTAGGAATGCATATGTGCATGTTACATGAGTAATTTGCTTCCGATCCTTGTTTGGTAATGTTGTGAAGATAGGTTTATGAATTCAGCCTATGTTAAATTGTGGTCAGCCTAATGCTGTAAAGTGTAAACCTGTTCTGGTGTAGGGAAGTTTCACACGAGTGAAGTGGGTCCTACAGTGATGCCACGTCATCACTGGAAGTTTTAACATGAGAAAATATGCATGTGCTTTGAGAAACAAGAAGTCTTTGATTCTCTTATCTGCTTGTGTAAACGTTTCCTACAATGACCATGTACAATTGTGTAGACTGATATGTACACATGCTTATAGTTTTTTTTGTAGGCATAGAAGTGTGGTGATATTACATGGATTCTTCAGATGATGAGGGAACAACTCTTCTAAACGTCATATCAGACTACTATTTCGTGGGTGCGGAAGATGAACCCCTTTCATTTACAGAGTTACCTGTCCAATGGGTTGAGAGTGAGAGTTTAGATGACAACAATAGCCAGATTTTTCTGAGGGGTACTGCTGATAATGGTCTTCAAAAGCTATATAGGCCGGTGAAGGCTTGGAAATGTGATCTTTCCAAAGTAAAGCCAGAGATATCAGCACTTTCTAGAGATAACAATTGGATCAAGCTTCTAAAACCCAGGAAGAGTTTTGAAGACATGATAAGGACAATCTTGATCACTGTGCATTGTCTTCATTTCTTTAAAAGAAAACCTGAAGCATCTGGCAAATCTCTTTGGGACCATCTGTGTAAAGTTTTCAGGTATGTATATTTCTGTGCGGTTGGACTTTCATCTTCTGTATGTGTTTGTTGTAACAATATTTCCAATTTTTAGCTTGTATGACATTAGGCCTTCAGAGAACGATCTGGTAGATCATCTCAGCTTCATCAGCGAAGCTGTGAAAAGGGACAAAACATTACGAAAATCCGAGGTTTGTCTTGCTATTCTTGGAGTTGTGGACGTATATGCATGGAAACACATTTAAATATATAATGATGCTTGAAATGATTACAGGTTCAATTTTTTCTCTTCGTTGCAGATAGGGTCCAAAGTTTAATTTTTAATCATTTTGGTAGCCCTACCTATTTATTGTTTGAAAAGGGTTGTGAGGATCTATGGTGTTGATTAGTAGTCACATCTCATCTTGAGTAGTTTAGGCTAGTACAAATTACGAGGAAAGGGTATGGGGGAGTGTACACTGTCATACCGCTAGTGAACTGCGTTAAATCTCGGTGTCGATAAATTGCGTTTCGTTGTATATGCTTTGTCTTTGCATAATTTGTTGTCATTTACTTTGTGGGTTAGTATTTCTCGGTTAGCATTAGTTTGCAACATCTTAGATCTCGTTATCCGCATTTGTTGTATGGGTTGATTTTACACTTGGATTTCTACTTGCATTTGGGACCATATAAATCCTTTTTGGTGTTATATTTGGCATATCCACCCCAACAAATCGTGCCTCTAGCACTAGGTAGCCTTACCTCTTAGTATATAATAACAATATACAAAAGTAAACAAATGGCCTTGTCCCCTAATATCAACTATATTGAAGTATAAATTGTATAGTTTGATTGGTTAAATATGCCTGCATCTCAGTCTTGGTTTTAAGTTTTGCTGTTAATATTACCAAGTGTAACAGTTTTTGGCTTCATTTCTGGAGAAGAAACCTGGAAAGAGGAAAGCTCTTGATGAGGTACAATCTGACTTCTGGACTTGGTTTGGTTTCTCGTGCCTAGTCACTTCTTTGATTCAACATTTTGTTGACATTGTGTGAAACATTCGCGTCACAGAATGCTGAAGTTACTATGAAACCCAGCTTTATAGTTGATGATATGAACGGTGAATGTGGGGATGAGGAACTCACCATAAAAGCCATCAAAGAGTGCGAGTCTGATGATGAGGGCGATGGTTTTGAAACAGTTTGTGCAATCTGTGATGATGGCGGTGATCTTACCTGGTAATATTGTTGCTTTTTGCATGTAATTATGTTTTGGTTTTGGTTTTCTTTGAACTAATGATGGAAGTGGTCGTTCAAATCCTTCAATTTGGAGGCTTTAATGATGTATTTTGCTATACTGCAGTTGTGAAGGGAAATGTTTAAGGGCATTTCATGCAACCATAGAATCTGCAGAGTCCAAATGTGAATCTCTAGGCCTACGTGCTGAAATAGTGCAGGTGTTTCACCATTTATGATTCAGATGATTTTATCGACCTGCACACTTCGTAATTTTTCATTTTATTCATTTGATCTATTTAAGGTCTCTATCGTTTGTGCATAATTCATGTTCAGATGCATTTTATCTGTATTTCTTTTGCAGAGATCACGACGTTATTTTTGCCCAAACTGCTCTCATAAACAACACCAGTGCTTTGTTTGCGGTGAATTGGGGTCTTCTGATAAATCTTCTGTTGCAGAGGTGCCGATTTTACTGAATACTTTTTCGCCTTTTCCCATAGTTATTTGCTGAACTTTAGAAAATGTTTTTGTCTGTTAAGGTAACTTGAAAATAATTGACTTAGACGTTTTGTAGGTTTTTTGCTGTAGTTCTGCAACTTGTGGCCATTTTTATCACCCAAAGTGTGTTGCAAAGCTGCTTCATGAGGAAGGTGATGCTGCAGCACAGGAACTTCAAGAAAAGATTGCTGCTGGTGAGCCATTTACATGTCCTGCCCACAAATGCCATAAATGTAAAAAGGGAGAGCATGAGAAGGTGGAAGCCTTGCAATTTGCTATTTGCAGGCGATGCCCGAGGTCATACCACAGAAAATGCTTGCCTAGGTTAACTCTCTGTTCTACGTTGAGTATTTCTTTTTGAAAAAAAGTACCCTCCAGTTAAATCTGATTGCAGTTGTTTAAATGTCTACTTACATAGTTGGTTTTTGATCTTTTTGCAGCCAGATTGTTTTTTGGAATGAAGATAATGACGAAGACGTTATAGCCAGGGCTTGGAACGGCCTTTTGCCTAAGTCACGTGCATTACTATATTGTTTGTAAGTCAGAGATACCTTGTTTCGACCAAGTTTGCAAGAAAAATTAACTAACTTATTTCTTTGGCACTTGTCAGAAAACATAAGATAGACGCTGAACTTGGCACTCCGTTAAGGAACTTAAAATTTCCAGATATTGGCCATAGCAAGAAGCAACCAGTAGAATCGTTAATAAGAAAAAAGGAAGTTGCGGATTCAGATTACACATCTGAAAAGGGGTCTTTTTCAAAGTCTCAGAAGACAAGAGTTGGGAAGTTCTCTTCAGCTGTTAGACCAGTAGATTCTTCCAAAAAGAGAGTGAAAATGTCATCTGGGTCAGAACCCATGAAGAGACAGAGAGTAATGGACAACTCTAAGAAGCTTTTAGAGAAGAATTTATCAATGAAATCTGGCAGGCCCAACTTGGATGATGACAACCCTTCCTTGGGGAGTAGATTGGATGATTATATTATGAATGAAAATGAACCAAGCAATTCTAAGAAGGATCACATTTCAGTTGATAAAGAGGAGCAGACCCCAAGAGCCACACCTCTGCAGACTGAAAACAGAAGTTTGCCTCTTCTGCATGCCAATTCACGGAAGAGGTGGAATTCTATTCCTTGAAGAAGTGGATCTCTCTCTCTCTCTCACACTCTCTCTCTTGTTCTTACTCTTATTAAACTGGCTTTGAACCATGAATGCCATTGCAGAGTACTGGCATTGATGAAAGATGCTGCTTCCTCTATTTCGCTGGATAAGGTAATAAAGCGTCATTTGGAGAACTTACCATCGACACATGCAAATTTATCCAATGTGGACAGATCCATTATCTTGGCTAGGGTGGAAGGCTCTGTGGAGGTATCTTTTGGGTTCAGTTTTGCTTTCTGTTTCTAGGAAAAATGATAAATGCCTCTACAGGTCAGGTTCTAAGAAAACCGCAAAAAATGAAAAAACCGAGTAACACCATGGTAACCATTCATTTGGACGGTATGCACTTTGCATATAAGTAACTTGTAAGCAATTTGTCCGGTATGGACGCATAACATGCACACATACACAAAAACCAAAAAACAGCTTAAGTTACTTGTATGTACATGTGCATACTGTCCAGATGAATGGTTACCAAGGTGTTCTGCAGTTTTTCGTCTTTTTGGTGGTTTTCCCCAGAACCTCCCTCATGCCTCTACAATCGTAATTTACTCTAATGGCACAGGCTGTTCATTTAGCTTTGAGAAAACTAGACGGAGGATGTAGTATTGAGGATGCAATAGCTGTTTGTGAGCCTAGTGTTCTTCACCAACTAATGAGGTGGAAGGTACATGTCAACACGATCTGATTTCTTCCGTTTGTAATGGCGCTCTTTATTAATGTTATTTTATTTGATTAGTGGTTAATAGTTTTGTTAGAATATATGGAAGACCTAACATACTCTCTCTAAAAGAGCCTTTATATAGGAGGGACTCCAAGTTTCTTTAGTCAATGGATAAATTAATCTATTACTTTTAGAAGTTATTCTTTTAATTGTAATCTAATGCTTGGAATTGTAGTAAATTTATCGATGTGGGTTTTTGACCACTGTGATGTAGGATAAGCTCAGAGTGTATCTGGCACCTTTTCTATATGGAATGCGATATACGTCCTTTGGTCGCCATTTTACAAAACCGGAAAACTTGGAAGAGGTGACTATGTTATTGATCTACTTGGAAGTCAAATTTGAATGCATCTGCTTGTAACTCATCTTCGCATCAACATGCTTTTATTGGCCACCATGTATGCTAAGTTTTAGATTTTTAGTGTCTATAAATATGAACCTGGAATTAATTAGAAATTGATTTTAACTTCTTTCCAGTAAGAAGCAGTAAGTACCGATCTTGTAGAGCCATTTGTGGAATTGTTGTTATAACGCCCCATAGCCCAAATCAACAGCCGGCCCCAATAACTTCCGGTTCAACTTTAACATCATGGTGAAAGTTATTGGTAGCCCACAACTTTTAGCTTATAAGGAGCTCAAAAATTTACTTTTCTATCCATGTGGGACGGGTTGTTACAAACCCGCAATTAAACTCCTGACACGCTCGTCAGGTCTGCCCAGGATCTGCCTTCTTGTAATCGGCAATGTGGGATTCTACTAAGATGCTACAAAATACCCCCCCTTACGACTCATCATCCCGGATGAGGTATGCCCCACCCTCCCAATGGTACAAGGATCTGCTCTGACCTCCGATACCGTATATGTAACACCCAAAAGCCATTGAACAGGCTGGCCCAATAACTTCGAATTAAACTTAAAGCCATGGTGGACGGCTTGTTACAGTAGTGCACAGAAGATTAGTTACTACTAGTCTATTCATATATCCAAATGTAATTTTATGTCCTTTTTTCTAGTTCATTATAGTGTCTTCGACCAACATGACTTTTGACACTTGTACTTGGTGATGCATCGGCTCTTGTTTCTCTAATTAATCACCCTTCTTTTCTTATTCTTAACCATAGATCATACATTCGTGGCATAGTCTTTTTATGCTCTTTTCTACCAAAGTCATATAATTGCTGCCTTCTATGGTCGTGCTTGCTTTGCATTTTTTGGCCAAGATGCCTGTTTGTGTTTACGTTTGTTAATTTTTTCTCTCATTATTCATTATCTTGGGTCTGAAACTTCCTGCAAGTATGAGCCTAAGTTAGTATTGATCCTTTTTTGATTTTAAACATGCAGATTGTCGACAGACTTTGTTGGTATGTTGAAAATGGTGATACGGTAAGAATTAATTCCAAAACCTACCAAGAAAATGATAATTTTCTGGTTATCAAGTACGACATAATAGTTTTGGTACATAATATGTATTGATTGTTTCAGGTATATAGTAAGTTTTTCTTTTTGAAAGAGAGGTATATAGTAAGTTGATAACTAAATTGATTATTAAGATATTTAGAGTCAAATCATGCTTGATATCACAATAATACATCTCAAGTCCCAGAGGAAGGTTCCGTTAGGAACCCAAAATTGATTAGGAGCCCGGGAAGCACCCATAGTGCGTCATGTGTCCCTCTTCAGGATGAGTATTCATCATGAATAACACATTCATGATGTGAATGTGGAAGTATTTTTATTCATCATGAGTCACACATTCATGATGAATATGGACGTGCTATTCATCATGAATCACATGTTCATGATGAATATGTTACAACATTCATTATGAATAACATGTCTATATTCCTGATGAATAAGCCATGTGTCACACGCGGGCCGTTCCCGGGTTTCTAATCAATTTTAGGTTCCTAATGGAACCTGCCTCCAATTCCTATATTTACTGCAGTTGCTTTTCTTTACTCTTCTCTGATATATGACTTCTTTTTCTTTGCAGATAGTCGATTTTTGCTGTGGAGCAAATGATTTCAGTTGTCTCATGAAAAAGCGGCTTGATGAGATGGGGAAAAGTTGCTTCTATAGAAATTTTGACATTAGCCGACCAAAGGTGAACATTTTCTTCATTCAAGTTAATGGCTGTAGGTTTAGCATGCTTATTTTTATCCAATCAGATGGTGCATTTTTCTTTTTCCAATTTCCTGAAGGAAAACTTTGGGTGAGAAAGGTAATGAGTACATCTTTGTTGAGTATGCCGAGCATTCCAAGGCTTATAGGTTTTGTGTTATTGAACTTAATGATTCTATATAGAATCGTATTTTCTAGTTTGGAAAAAATTCAGGGATAAGATATTCTATATTTGATGTCTTGTGAATTTTTTGACTCCATTGCTTTTTACCTGTCTCAAATCTCATTGTTGTCCAAAATAGAGTTGGTAGCATGGTAGCATGATTTCTAAATATTAAAGGGTCTTTGGCCTTGCGGTATCTGGGTCCTTTGGTCTCTTGAGGCGTTAGGAGTTCAAACCTCACCAAAGGTGAGGAGGATGTGTGAGCTTATTTGTTGCATTTGTCATATATAGATATTATATGCTTCAAAAGAAAATATAATTAAATTTTAAAGCAGCTTGGGGAAGAAACTTACCTATTGTTCTACTTCATTTGCATGCTTCCTAATTCTTACTTTATGAATTCAGAATGATTTTTGCTTTGAGAAGAGGGATTGGATGAAGGTTCTTCCAAAGGAATTGCCCGATGGATCAAAATTGGTGAGATGACTGTTGTTCTTATGTGATGTAGTCGACTTGAAACTCATTAGCATTGATTTTTCTCATTGCTTTATCTTTCTTATATCTCTCGAGTAGATCATGGGACTAAACCCTCCATTTGGAAAGAATGCATCTCTTGCAAACCGTTTTATAGACCAGGCGCTTCGGTTTAAGCCCAAGCTTGTCATTCTTATTGTTCCCACAGAGACTAAAAGGTATTATGGACAGTCTCTTACTCGCTCGCTCTTTTATAGACACACACTCTCACGTGCCAACCAATATACTCCCTCTGTCCCAAAACAAATGTCCACGATGAAAAAGGTACAATTTTAGAAATGTGTAATTATTACACTTTTTAATTAACGAATTTACCCTTAATAAATAGAGAGTAATGAATTTTTCCATCTCATAATTAAGGATAGAATTGGAAAGTAGGCACAAACTTTTGATAGTAGGTACTTATTTTGGGAACAAAATAAAATAGAAATGTTGACGCTTGTTTTGGGACAGATGGAGGATCTGCCTATCGGGGGAGGTTCATTTAAGAATCTTAAATATTTTAGGAAGCCATGAACTACCTATTTTGTGAGTATTCATTATGAATATTATTCATCATGAATACTCACACAAAAGGGGGCTTCTGGGTTTATAAAATATTTGAAGTTTCTAAATGAACCCCCCTCTTTGCCTATCTATTTATGCACTTGCATCTAAATGCTCATCTCTGACCAGGTTAGATCGTCGTGAAAAGATAAGAACTTCGTATGATCTGGTTTGGGAGGATGCCAATTTACTAGCTGGGAAGGTACATTCTGCTGTCCATTTGCCTTCAAATGTTGTTTTGTACGACCTGGTGACTTTAAAATTGTCGTTTTCTTCTTTTCTAGTCTTTTTATTTCCCTGGATCTGTTGATGCCAATGATAAACAAGTGGATCAATGGAACAACACTGCACCACCGCTCTATCTTTGGAGTCGTTCAGATTGGACTAGTAAGTATATAGCCATCGCTCAGCAGCATGGCCATGTATCCAAGGAACCCGAAGCAAACGTTCATGCCTTGGATTTGCATGCGGAAAACCACGAGTTAAATGGTGAAGTTTCCATGCCGCTTGATAATGATATGAACTTGGCTAAAGATGGTAAACCGCTGAGCCAGGGAATGCATGAATCTTATTCACATTACAACATTGCCGCCAAGGACCCTTTTGTAGGTGCAGCATACGGGCGGCCAGACGGCGGTAGTTTTGTGAGTCCTGATGGTAGAATCAGAAAACCGGATGCGATCCAATTTTCTGGGCATGAAAGGGATGGTTACAATAGACAGGCTTGTATTGAGGATATCAGAAAATATGGAATGGATCCTTCTTCAAGTCAAAGACCAGGTTTTTCGAGTGGATACAAGTTGAGCCCCACAAGGATGAACAATATGCGGGGGCCTGGACCTGGGGTGCGTATGGACTCCTCCAGTTTTGCCCCTGGCCCGCCCCACCCTTTTCTACAGCAAAGCTCATCGGGCGGGTGGCTGAATGAGTGAATGAAGTTTAGCATGGATGGCAGGTTCTATTTTACTTCCAACTCTAATGTGTAATTGTGTTTTACTCGTTTAGGAGGGGTTACAACACTTGTTCACATGTAGTTAAACATGATATGGATGCTTTGTGAAGATGAAAGTCATCTTATTTTGGTACAAGTCTTTGCTTAAGTGAATATAAAACCAAAGCAAGCCACACCTGCAATTTGGACAAATCCAAAGAAGGTTTTCCCGTACGTTCGTCACAAAATATTTATAAATCCCAATACACCCAATGCCAGATAGCCGCCAAAAAGCACAACCCAGAAAACACAATACCGCTCCAGCCACACCTTCGTAACTCCAAATACCCGGATTCGTTAACCCCCCCTCCCCCCCAATAGTCCAATCGTCCCATGAATTGGTTATTCATAAACGAGTCATGAAGGGTATAACGAACATACCTAGTCTCCACATTGGATCAAGAACAGGGTCAGAAGGATTAAAAACTGCTAATTCATACAGGGCCATTGAACCGGCCAAACTAGCAAGTACTGTGTTTGGTTTGAAGTCTCATTCATATTCTTTTCTTTTCTTTCTTATAAAATTCTCAAACCAACAAACCCAGTATATTTTACTCATCAGAATCTATACAGACTTAACCTTTGTCTTGAAGGTAAGTTGTTAGATGTTTTTTTTTATCAGATATATGATTTAATCACTTTCTTCTAATTATGGTTTTGTTGAATGAGTTGAGATTTTTTATAAACCCTAGAGAAATGGAATCTATAAGAATGTTTAATAGGTAATAATGTGAATTTGAAAAAAAAAATATTTTGAAGAAAAAGAATTAATTTTTCTTTTTGCATTTTTATTAAGTATCAAGTATGATGTAATGGGTCATTTTTCTATCAAAAATTTAGTTGATATTTTGATAAAGACTTTAATAACTATTTATTTGTACTATTATTATATACACACATATATATACAAGCAATTTGTATGGTATGTATGTGTGTAAAACATACACAAATACATAGAAACCAAGAAACATATTCAATTTTTTTATTAACCTGGATATCCAATTCGCTATGTGAGCCGACTAATCCTAGGACAATCACTGCTTTGCATATAACTCAAAGTCACCGCATTTGAACTTTCGTGGCCACAAAAGAATTTTTATTTCTCCTTGGATTTGAACCCGAGACCTCCTGGTACTTTTGACATTTGGAGCCAAATTCAAAACAATCAAATACCACCCTTGTATTTGGATACTGTACAGATAAATAGTTGTTAAAAGTATTGTTGGGTTTTATTTGTTTAAGGGTTTTTTTTTTATCAATCTAATAAGACACATCCTTGTATTTGATTGACATAAAAATATCTAATGTTTAAAAGACAAAAAGAAAAACAAAAAGTTAAAGGAAAATAGGAAAGCCCTAAATGAGCCCAAAGAGTGTATTCATCTTGGCGAGCTACTTTCGATTTCTATTGCAATTTTGCAATCGAAAGGGAGGGCAGCCATACCCATAGCCATTCTTCCAATCCAACTTCAGTCACTTTCTTTGGAAATCGCATTCATGGCCACACACTTCTTGCTTCGACTCTCCCCCAACCTAACTCCTCCTTCCTCCTCCACCGCCCCTCCTCTTTCTCCCTTCTTCTTCAAAACATGCCCTTCTCCTCGCCCCCCGCCGCGACGTCGCCCTTCCGCCGTTTCTTGTTCTTTTACCTCGATGGAGTCTGCAAAGATTAAGGTCGTCGGTGTCGGTGGCGGTGGCAACAATGCTGTTAACCGAATGATTGGTAGCGGATTGCAGGTGTTTCATTTCTCTTCCATTTTCTGGGGTTATCTCTTAGAAACCCACAATTGTTCTCTTTTCTTACTTCTTGAATGTGTTTGATTTGGTTTGGTATAGCTGTTGTTCAAGAACATGTAGTCATATTTACAGCCTTTTTGATCTCTATTGCATTACATTATTCTTTAACAGAATTCTGTTGTCTTCCAACAATTCCAATTATATCTATATTATTCGTATTGAAAATCAGTTTCATTCAAGAAAAATGGTTTTTCTTTTGTGTTGTAGATTTTGCTTCTCAGTCTTGAAATGGGTTTTATGATTCGTTATCATGTTACAGATTTCTCATAATTTGTGCATAATCTTGGATATTTTCTTGTCATCAGAGTATATATATATATATATAATATATATATATATATATATATATATATATATATATATAGAGAGAGAGAGAGAGAGAGAGAGAGAGAGAGGGAGGGAGGGAGGAAAACCCAAAGAAATGAAAAACTGAGGTACACTATACAAGATCGAGTAATTGAAGATATTTCATGGTTTCTATGCATGTGCCTGCCGGATAAATACTTAAAATTACTTGTATGCACCTGAAAAAATACTTAAAGATTACTTTTATGCACATGTGCATGCTATATAGATGAATGGTTACTAAGGTTTTCCTCGGTTTTTCATTTCTCTGCAGTTTTTTCCCGAACCTGAGCCTATATATACCCTGAAAACCGTTCATCTGTACAGTATGCACATGTGCATAACATGTATACGTGCATAGAAACCGGAAAACATCTTCACTTACTTGTATACAATGTGCATACCGTGAAGATGAATGGTTTTTAGGGTGTCATTTTTTTTTCTTTTTTTGGGTTTTTCCTTGAACCCCCCCCTCTCTCTCTCTCTCTCTCTCACACAGACACACTATATATATAAGTTATGATCAATTCTTTGACAATGTCCGATTTGATGAACAATAGGGTGTTGATTTCTACGCCATAAACACGGATTCACAAGCCCTTCTGCAATCTGTTGCAGAAAACCCAATTCAGATCGGAGAACTTTTGACTCGTGGACTTGGTCTGCTTCTTTCCATCAACATTATTTATAATCTTTAAGCTTTTTGTTTAGATTTTATGTTCTTAATTCAATCTGGATGAGATTGATATATTTGTAGAGATATGCAGGTACCGGCGGGAATCCACTTTTAGGAGAACAGGCTGCAGAGGAATCAAAAGAAGCCATTGGTAATGCTCTTAAAGGATCAGATCTTGTGTTCATAACAGCAGGTATGGGTGGTGGTACTGGTTCTGGTGCTGCTCCAGTTGTAGCCCAGATAGCAAAAGAAGCCGGATATTTGACCGTTGGTGTCGTAACTTATCCATTCAGCTTTGAAGGACGCAAAAGATCAGTGCAGGCAGGTGACGGGATATTATGCTTCTTTAGAAGTTGTATACCATCTTAATTCTATACGTTTTTCCGCATGAAGATTGATTATTTATCCACCATTTATCTTGTTCTATCGATGTAGGGGTTGTTTGGTTGGTCTTCCATAAGTCTTGTATAGATAAAGTTGTCTGTGTGGATTATTTAGTCTGTATAAAGTGGAAAGGTTTTTGTTTAGGAGGGTTTTCTAATAGATGGAAGGAGCATGTTTTTAATTGGGTCGAGCAGGTTTAAAAAAAACTTGGCTTTATACATAAAGCTCCCCCTAGAAGCTTATTACATAAGCCACTTTGGTTGTCATTAAGCCACTACCAAACAGTCATGTATAGCTGACCAAATAAGTTGTGAGTATCATTAAGCCCATTAACCTGCTAACAAACCTCTGTTATATGTTTTCTATGCTCTCAAGTTACCATCTTTGTTGTCTTTCCAAAATTGCGAGCCAAGGATCTTGATGTTTCTGTGTTTTTCAGGCTTTGGAGGCTATTGAGAAGCTGCAAAAGAATGTTGACACACTTATCGTGATCCCGAATGACCGTTTATTGGATATTGCTGATGAGCAGACACCGCTTCAGGATGCTTTTCTTCTTGCTGATGATGTACTCCGCCAAGGAGTTCAAGGGATTTCAGATATAATTACGGTGAGTCCTTTGTGGAATGAGATCTTTTTGTGTCTTCTTAGAGCCCGTAATACTCATACAAAGGATGCGTTTGGTATTCGAGACCACACATAATAAAAACTTGTCGTTCCACGCAAGGTAAAAGGTGGAGTTGGGCCTCAAGGCATTTTACCTTAACGAGGCGAGGCAGAAATATATATACAAATACACCAAAATATGTATATATACACATTAATATACGATATATATAATACTAAATTACTAAGGGTGCTGGTTTTGTGGTTCTTGACAGAGGAAAGAGTGAAACCGTACGATAGACTGAGAACGTGTGGAAAAATTGGTTGCTTGGAGAAAGGAAGGGTCAACCCATATTTTTTGATTGAGAGGAGAAAGTAGTAGCTTTTTAGGTTTTAAAATATTAAAAGTACAAATTGGGCCCATTGGGCTTTGACTTTTACTTCTTTAAAATAAAAAGGACACTTGTATTATAAGGAGAACTACTGCTGCTATAAAACTTATAAAAAAGGCAAAAAACCCATTGCCAAGGCAGATCATCTGAGGCGTACGCGTCGATATTGACTGAACCAAAGCAGATCATCTGAGGTGCGCTTTTGGGTCGCCTCGCCTTGAGGCGCTCCTCAGGTTGTACGCCTTAAAACGATTTTTAGAACCATGGTCCCACGTTTGGTGCGACAATTAGATGGGGACAGGCTAGGATTGAGTGAGATTAAAATGCATTTTTTTTCCATCCCACCAAAATAGATGGAACAGCAATCAGGGAGATGAGACAACTTTAGTAAATTACTAAACTATCCATGTCAAATTACAACTCTAAAACCTTCCACAATTCTCACACCTGCTTACCTCCCTCTCGCCTGGGAAGTTGAATCTTGACTCTTATCCAGTCTTGTCTACGTACCAAACACACACTAAAGAACCAACCTAGCCAGACCATCATTGTTATGTTGTATGTCGGTCTAGGAGGGATTCTTGGAAACTAATAACAATTTCCTTTAAGACTTGGACTTTATTTTTCCTATTTCTTAAGACGGTGGGCGTATCATGAAATGGGTGTGTTTGATTTTTGCAGATACCTGGGCTGGTAAACGTGGACTTTGCGGATGTTAAAGCAGTGATGAAAGATTCTGGAACCGCAATGCTCGGTGTGGGAGTTTCGTCCAGCAAAAACCGAGCTGAAGAAGCAGCGGAACAAGCAACTCTTGCTCCTTTAATTGGATCGTCGATCAAATCCGCTACTGGAGTTGTTTATAATATTACTGGAGGGAAAGACATAACTCTGCAAGAAGTCAATAGGGTCTCTCAGGTACTACTACTCAATATGATCCACTATGTGAATTTTTTTTACATATCACATATGATAATATATGTGTGAGTATAGACTACGTATTATCGCATGTGATCATATGCGTGTGAGTATAAGTTACGTATTATCACACGTGATAATATGCGTCTAAGTATAAGTGATGTATTGTCACACGTGATAGTATAAGTGATGTATTATCACATGTGATACTATTTGCATCACAATAAGATCGATAAATGTATGTGATTAACAAAAACATCTACAATTATCATATAAGATTGATATGATACAAATTATCAAATGTGATGAGAAAACCTATTATCAAACTGTTACAGATTTATCTTTGTGATGGAATTGGTTTATTAACGATTATTAGAAATCGGTTTGGAAAACAAACTCATCCCCCGTTTATTAGGGATTACGAAATGACAATAATACCCTTTTGAATTTACTTTGATAATGTTCTATTTGATCCATTTATTAAATATGGTATGTGCCCCATATTCCTTTTCGTCTTCTCGCAAATGAATTTGCTTCTCGCATGATCCTCCCTCTATATTTTGAATCTGGTTTGTTTATTATCAGGTGGTAACAAGTCTGGCAGATCCATCAGCAAACATTATATTCGGGGCAGTGGTCGACGAGAGATACAACGGTGAGATTCATGTCACAATTGTTGCTACAGGATTTGCACAATCGTTTCAGAAATCTCTTCTGGCCGACCCAAAAGGAGCAAAACTTGTTGATAGAAATCAAGAAACCGCACAGCCTTCGATTCCCGTGACCACGTCCTCTCCATCTCCCTCTCGTTCTAGGAAACTTTTCTTTTAAGCGGATCATCGTATCACGCTCTAGGAAACTCTTCGTTTTACCAGCTTCCCAAGAAAATGAAGTTTGCTATTATGTTACGGCTTTTTTCCGTTTTCCTTTTCACGTTCAGTAATTGTTGCAGAAACCCGATGGTTAGTACCATGACGAGCAGAGATCGATTTTTTTTAGATGTATAAAAAGAATGTCGACTAGAATCAACTAGTGAAAGCTTCATTTTGTATTCTTTTTCTTTTTTTCTGTTAACAATGGGTTGTTCGGGTCGGCTTGCACGCATCTTAATCAAAACAATTCGATGTCCACTTTTGGTGCTGTTGCTCGGAAAATCAAGTCCGAGGGGCCGCGATGCAAAAAGAAGTACCGATGGCCTATCTGAATTGGGAAATTAAGGGACTGTTTGACAATTGTTGAATGGTTTGGTGCAGAATGATTAAGAGACTCGTGATATAATGCAAAATGAAATATAATTGTTTGGTAATTATTTACAATGAAATTAGGGCACTGAATGGTTAAGGGAGACTTATGATACAAAATTATTCAGAAAATTTTAAAACCATTAAAAGGCGGACTCTTTTGCCTAACAAGATTTATCTACTAACGATTCAGATGTTGTCTTTTAATAAAATTATCAAGAGGTAAACAAACAACCCCAGTTTAAATGGGTTCTTGACGCCTAGTCCCGAAGGTCAATTGGCTTGAGAGTGGCTGACTCAAATCCCGCTAATGAATTAATCACAAAGTCATGTTCGAATCGTACAAATGATGCATTCTGCTGTCTCCTAACTCATATTGTAACTTTACCAAAACCCCTTCATTCTCTAATAAGCCTTGTGACACTAAAACCACCAACACCAAAATCCATAGGTACCAAGATTTCAATGAATGCATGGTGAGATATAGTTTTCAATATGCATTCACATGTGAATATTTGGACAGACAAAAGAAGGCAATCAGATCAGATGAATATATTACACAATTCTGGGGAAAGTACAAACGGAAGCATGCTTTCACCAAAAAGATCATAAAGCTTGGGAAGCAAGTGTCCAGCATTTATTTCTTTTTTCCATGCTCGGGCCACGGCCACCGAAGATGATGTTTGAGCTACACTACCAAACTTGTCTCTCCGACCACTGCTTCCCGGAATGGTGTCATTTGGCAAAAACCTTGGTAATGGGTGCACCCCGACATCAGAAGCTCCACGAGTTATTGAAAATCCGCTGCTGGCTCCTGGCACCTCGACCTTCACTAAATGCTGCCCTCCTACAGAACCGTCACCTGTTGCTGTTTTTTTAAGTGTCTGCTCCATCATCAAGTTGTTTATGCCCGCCTTCCTTTTATCTTGATTTATACATGCAAACAGCAAACAAATGATCAACAATTTTATTATGGTATATATTTTATATATAGGGTAGGCTTATGGTGAGAATGGAAGTTATAGTGAGAAGGGATCTCCACCCTTGGATCAATCCTAATTGAAGATCAACACTAATGAGATGCAGCGGATCAATTCTCATATAAGCGAAATTCATGAGGTGAGGATGAGATTAAAAATGATCAAGGGTCCGGATCCCTTCTTACGCTTCTCACCTTAACTCCTATTCTCACACGATCCTTCGTCTATATATTTATATATATGCGCCCAAAATCATATACAAACATCCTATAAATTTAGAAACTCTATGAATCAATATTAACCACATATCATGTTTAACTTCCACTATTATCTTTATTATCTCATCAGTCTTTTCCTAAAAAAGCTCACTTTCTGTTTTGCTTTGAAACAACAGCAGTGTCGTTTTACCAATGAAACAATACATAGTTGATCTATATTGATCCGTTTTATTAATGCAATGTCGTTTCACCAATGAAACATTACATTGATCGAGTGATTTCAAGTGGAGAAAAGTGAGTTTTTTAGGAAACAGTTGATAAGATATTTAAGGAAGTTAAATATGTGTGGTCTATATTTTGTTCATAGGGTTTCTATCTTATAGGCGGTTTCTATTTGATTTGCCCATAAGGCGAAGGATAATGTGAGAAGTGAAGTTATAGTGAGAAGCATAAGAAAATATTTGAACCCTTGATCACTTTTAATCTCATACCCACCCATGAATTGCGCTTTAGAAGAGAATTGATCAGGTGCATCTCGGTGCACCTCATTACTCTTGGCATACAATTACGATTGATCCAAGGGTGAAGATCTCTTCTTACGCTTCTCACCAGAACCCAATCTTTGCCCATTATATATGTAAGAAGGGATCTCCACCCTTGGATGCATATTAAGATGAGATGCACCATGATGCATCGGATCAATCCCCACATCAAGCACGATTCATTAGTGGGTTTGACATTATAGGTAATCAAGGGTCCAAATCCCTTCTTACGTTTCTCACCTTAACTCTCGTCACACGATCCTTCGCCTATATATTATTGTGCCATTTAGTTAGGCTGTTAAGAAATGCTCTTACTTTATCACCTCCAAACATCATCTAAAAGACAATGTTCAAATGAATGAACACCAAATATAGGTGAAAAAGAATATCTACAGGTTTTCCCTATATCCAACAAGAAAAATACAACCAACGATTAGGAGAAAGAAGCCGTACTTGGGTTTATAGTCAAGTCATTTCCATTACTCTTCCAGATGGCATGTGTTGGTGGAGAAAACAGATTGGGAATCATCTTAAGCTGATTGTAAATGCATAGACCAGCTGCACACTGCAAAATGTATTTCCTCTCAACCTTCGTTTCACAGCACCAATGATATACACAGATGAATATATATATATATAGGGTTGGGTTGCCGTGAGAAATGCCATTTTTCGCAAGAAGTGTTAGAAATGTAATCTTCACATAAGATAAACTTCACAAAATATGTGATGGTACTCTTATATTATGTGAAGGCGTATAGAGATGAACGGTTTTGTAGAAACTGGTGAAGGTATGCATTCAGGTCGTGTAACCTTCACCACCCACAAAATATACAGGTACCTTCACCATTTCTCACGTTTCTCATCTTTTTCCTCACTTGAACCCAAATCTATATATAGGGTGAAGGTCATGGGAAAACCTCAAAAAAAAATTGAAAAACTAAGAAACATCCTGGTAACAATTTATATGTACGGTATACACATGTGCATACAAGTAATTTGTACATCTTCAATTACTTCATGCACATGCACATACCGCACAGATAACGGTTACTGGGGTGTTCGTTTTTCATCTTTTGGGGGGTTTTACCTGAACCTCTCTTTCTCTCTCTCTCTCTCTCTCTCTCTCTATATATATATATATATATATATATATATATGAATTATGCATTTGGTCCAACATCCAAGTCTCCTTGAGGTCGGGGATTCACGAATTGTAAGAAGTTCTATCTGCAATGTGGCATTTTTACTCTATCGGAGAAATATACACACTAAAATGAAAGTAAAAGGAACTCACCATTAAAGCCCCATGCACTTGCCAGGCCTCATGCCTCCTGCTCTCATTTTTCTGATTCTCAAGTTGCATTTCTGGTTCTAAAAAATGCAGATATGGATCAAGATTTGGCAGCAAAAGCAGACGCACCTATGAAATGTAGATAAGAGCCCGTAAACAGATTAAATTAGAATTAAGATCACAGACAAGATGAAACCAGTTTTGTGCAGAATAGCCCATTTAAATACTTTGTACTAGAAAGAAAAGATGCAAGTTAAGGAGATCTAGAATCAAATTTGTAAAAAATGATTCAAATTCTGCCTTATTAACCTTTATCATATGATTTTGCTGACTTCCTACTCCTAGAATTCTGACCTTAGAAACTTATGAAGACATAACTGTGATATAAAGCTCATCTTGACATAATGGAAGTAGCAGAATCATAGAGAGATAAAAATATTTTACAGTGTGCATTTATCATGTATTTTGAGAAATGATTAGTTGTCTCTAACATTGTATAATATATTACCATGAGAAGCTTCAATTCAGAATACACTTAAGGGCTTGTTTGTTAGAGGCTTAATAGGCTTAATGGGACTCACAACTTATTCAGTCAGCTATACATAACTGTTTGGTAGTGGCTTAATGATATAGAAAGTGGCTTATTTAGTAACCTTATAGGAGGGAGGTTTATACAGAAAGCCAAGCTTTTTCCAAACCTGTCCCTCCTAATTAAAAAAATACTCTCCTTTCATCTATGAAAAAACCCTCCCAAACAAAAACTTTTCCAATCTATACAAACAGATTAATTCACACAAACATCTTTATCCATACATGACTTAACCAAAAACCAACCAAACAGTCATTGAGACACTACCAAACAGTCATGTATAGCTGACCGAATCAGCTGTAAGTCCCATTAAGCTCATTAAGCTGTTAACAAACAGTTCCTGAGATTAATATCAGACGTTGCTATAGCAAAGCAATGGAGTTGCAAATGCTTCAGCAGCTGAAGGACACAAATACAAGAATTCAAAGACATATAGAGAGTCAAGGAAGCATCATCCACGATCACAAGTTCCATCAATAGTGACAAATTCCTGTTCTGTTGTTTCAGTAAGCAGATTTTTAGTAACAAGCTCCGTTTAAAATACCACCAGTGACTGAATCGAGTCTTTGGACCAAATTGTTAGCAAAGAACCAGCCTTTTTGATGTCAAATTTCCTCTTGTTAACAACGGCTGTGCGCTGATGGTTTCTGCGGTGTTATCTCAAGTGTAAATATTCAAAATAATGTAATCAATTTCCTTTTTTCCTTTTAAGAAAACCATACAAGATCCAGAAACCCTTCCCGACTACATCAAATATATCATCAAGAAGAGGAAATGCAATCATCAATGTCAACCACCACAAATTTATTCCAACAGTTCTTAAATGCATGTTTCAACACCTTTTCAAGTGATGTTGTCTGTTTACTCAAGTAGACCAAAGTGATGATATCACATGCTTTGATCCTAGTATTTTTAAGAAATTCTCTTTCCGTAACAATTGGGTGATGTAATCCCTAGCTCTTGCACTATTCGGGTTTTAATTCCCTTTTATCAACATAAAGTCACTTTGGGAGAAAAGATAGAAGGAATAAAATGACAATGTGATAAAAATCAACATTGTACCATTTTAAATAGATAAAAGATCTCTCCAAGACCCTCCTTTCCCTCCTTCTGTAGCTTATCAATATATTGCAAGTGGAGGTCCTAACTTCTAATGTCTATTCCTCCTCTAAGGCATGTCTATATAGTAAAGCGGATTCAAATTCAAGTTGTATTATCTAAAGCTAGATTTCTCCACTCGGGTTCTACAAAATAGGTGCTTTTGTCTTACAAAGTTGGACACTTGGGAATAATTTCCATCAAAGAGAAAATGCAATGCCTCACTTGTTAGTAATTTGCTGACTAATATATGATAATGAAAATGCTAGCGGAAAGGGAAAACAAAGAAGGTTACCACGCTTGATCCAAGGGCAGTAATCCCTTTTATCGCACCATAATGTTGGGGAAATGCTTTTGCTGGATCCAAAAACGCATGAAGAAGAGTCCTAGTCACACGTAATTGGAGGTTATGATACCCATTGCCAAACCTGCCAAATGTGCAGAACTAGAAGATTATTCTACATTCGTCAAATGTGAAGATAATAGACAATGCATTAATACACTTTAGCCATACACAAGTGGAAAACTTATAATACACAGAAGCTGTGTGTTAAGTTGTTTTTATGATTTTCACTATTTAACAGATGGTTTAAGGGTAAACAAAGACATACAAATATATGCTTACTTTCATTTATTTATAAGAAAATACCCACATGGATCATGATATCATGTATCAACCTTTCACCTTTCCTATCTTGGTCCATCCCCAAAATCCTCCCCGACACAAATAAATAACAAGTAAAACTCCATAAGTGTCACAATATTAGATATATGTACTTCAAGACTCAATCATTATATAACAACCAAATAATGGTAGAAGTGCTTTGAAGAACATAACAAGAGGCATGAAGTTTTTGATCCTCATACAATTTAGATGATAGCCAAACAATCTCCATCTTGATTTTTAATGTGAAACAAGAGTAACAAGTACTAAACAATTATAATGGAACTTCTAAGAAGCTGAATATAACCAATAGAGATAAATGAAGAGGAAAGGAGAATGGATGCAAGGACATCGGCTGCATGATCAGATCATCAATATTTCAACTTAAATTAAAGGTAAGTATATATGAAATAATCATCAAACAATGTCGGAGCAGGGAAGTATTTTGCAATTCTACTAGACATGAATATCCATGTTCAGATGGAATTGAATAACGAATTACCACATATATCTATACATATATGTAATATATATATATGCACACACCTTCTGCATATTGAAGCCACCAGGTTAGCTGTGAAGTTTCGAAGTTCCCAGTGGTTATCAGTTAACTTATTCCCAAGGCTTTTTGCAACAAGGCAGGTCATTACAGACGGCATCAGTTGGTGCAGCTGAAGAGAACAACCGGTTAGATACTGCAGACAAAGCCTTAAATAGAATTTGTAATAGACAATTAACAGTTCTGAATAATGTTACTTGACATCATCAGGTTTTACTTTGTCATGTTACTAAAGTTTAGTGCATAGCAACCTCAAATTATTGACGAATGATCAGTTGAATTACAAATGATTTCATTAGACTGGTGGTAAGGTTATCCCGCCGAGCTTAGACTTTTCACCACAAGGGTTGTGGCATAGTGGTTGAGGCCAAGGGGATGTGGTGGAATATCCCATCTATCCCGGGTGTAATTCCAGGCGTCCACGACAAGTGGGGCCACTGAGTTTATCAGGGCTGATGTCTTACGGTCGCAATTTGCTGGGATTAGTCTAGGCATAGCCTTGGGACACCCTTCCAGAAGAAAAAACTTGTGCTGCAAACCAAACAAGAGCATCTATATTTTGGAATATTTCCGGTGGTTACACTACTAATCTAAGTTGCATGTATGTGATAAGATGTTTATGTATATTTGTACTTACGTATGGTTCAATGTGCAGAAATGGATTCTGCAGAAGACTCCGAACAAGGCGCATCAAAGCAAAAAGAAGCTGGAAGTTGTTTAAATTACGAGTAACCTGATATAATTATGAGACATGAGCAATCATGGATAAGAATAACTTAAGATAACAATTCACAGTACAATCAGTGAAAACGGAAAGTGAGTACCTCTTCAGCTACGAAATATATGAAATAAGGAACCAAAGGATGGAGTCCTACGTCAGTCGCCAAACTCAACAATGCTTTGTTAAAGATGATTGAGTTTGATCGACTTACAGTGAGGTCTGTGATCTTTTCAAAGTAAAGCTGCAAACCGATCAAAATGCAGCAAGTTACAAAATAGTTTTAGTGAGAGGACCATGTGCGCATGGCCTATAATAACTTTTAATGTTTTACCTGAAGCTCTATAGAGAGCACATGTTTCACAGGAGTTTTAATGTCAATTGAAACCCCATCTTCTTTGTAATCAGGTTTCTTATTATCGAATGGGGTCAAAAGTGCTGCAGTCAAATGAGAACTGTTTTAGAGGTAAAATGGTAATAGCCCAATCGCATGCTCATTTATATTCTGCTGCTACAGATATATGTAATTAAATGCATATTTATAGTCATCAAACATTACCAAGAATGGAAAAATAGCTTACAGACCATGTAGCAGAATTTTCATCTTGGATACATATGTTAATGGCCAATAGTAACACCAATAGAGCTTCAAGAAACAGATGTGTATTGCATGCATGTAATCCATATACACTTCCAAATGGCATATATGAAATTTTTCTTTACTTTGTATTTGGACTCCAGAAAACCTGGTGTACTTAAGATGCCACACTTAGAGCATCCACTATGTTGAGGTTTTTTACCAAAGCTTTTATAGAGCTTTTCCTTACATATTATCGCCACCTCAACAACCTAAAAACCTCTACATACCTCCACTATGTGAAAAACCTCACCCAAGCTTTTTCATAGCTTTTTCAAACTTTTCAGGGTCCCACCATTTTTAACTTTATATCATTTATATTCTTATTTATAAAAATAAATATATTAAAATTTATACAAATACATATCTATTTATAGTAAAAAGTCTACAAAAATTATTCTCAAAACACCCTAAATTTTATAAATTTGTATAAAAATTGGGTTATCAAGAAATCCATAGAAATTGTATAAAAATCTATACAATAAAAAAATTAAAAAAAGTAAATGTATCTCATCTCTAGGGAAAACATTTTCTCTCTATACAACTGGTTAAATATTTTCTTACAATAATGGAATATTATTAAAATCATCAGTAGTTACTTGATGAAAATAAATACAATTGGATTAGGCTCAAGATACCTTCCAGCGAAGCATTTTCAGGAATAGCAGGTTGTACCCCTTCAATAGCCAGCCAGTGATTGACTACAGCTGTATCTGGAGGTGCTTTTGGAAGGGCGGCTGCAATCACCTGGAATATTTACTAAAAATATATGAACCAATCATACTGTTCTAACAACCTTTTAAAATACAGCCGCTTCATTACCTCTCTAAATTCTACATCCTTGTCCTCAACATAGAACAAATCCTTATGCCTGGCAGCTCTTTTAAATCGCAAAGAATCCCCGGATGCAACATATATTGGCTGAGATGAGAGATAATATAACATATACAGACCACAAATGCAAACTTAAAGTTACATGTACATCACTTGCCCATAAATCGAAGAAGAATATAAATGAACATGAAATCATAGTAAACAAAAATGAGTTGTATATCCACATGCTATATGTTTGTATGCAGTGTGCTCCGACAAAGTTTCCCAGGAACAAAACAATGTAAGACAAATTTCAACAGGTTGCAATCTGCGAAAATAGATGGAAATCAAACAAGGAACTCTAAGCCTCGCACTTGGATTCAGTAGTATCCTTGGGCAACTTGCCCAAACAAATCAAAATGTGTCTCACCAAAAGGTGGATGAAATCACTTAATCATAAAAAAGACTTCAATAATTCCTATTTACTCAGTGTTTTACATAAACAACCATTAACAGATAAGTAGAGATATAGCAAGTACCAACCTCACTGTTTTTTCCTTCACGAAAAAGAGAGTGGGATCATGAGAATGTTTGTTCTACAAAAACAAATTGTGCGCAAGTATTTGTGGTTCCTATAGATTCATCATTCCAAGATTGTTTAAATTAAAAACCCAAATCCTTCTTGGAAGAATATCAACAAATTAAATTATTGGAATTTGGATATAGAATTCTTCAATATAACAAACTACTCTTAATCTCCAGGTAATTAATCGAATAATAGTTAGAAGGAGTTCCACTGGATATAACATAAGCAGGAATAAAAAAAAATCCCAGCAAATTTCTCTTTGCCATAAACTTGTGATCCCAAACAAGAAACTTAGCAAGGAAAACATGTAAGTTCTGATTGATGCTAGTTTTATTTCTGAAATAAAGGGTAATCAATTTTATTGATGCCAACATTTGGGATACTTTTTACAGTTATCTTTTAGAAGAAAAACTATAAACAATTTGTACAGTAAACAATGTTTCTAAGTGGAATAAGATTGATCTACACTGCAAAAGACTTTTCAGTAGGCCAACAAGACTTCAAAATAATTCTAGGTTTGGAAATTAATAAGTTTGTTTTAAGAAAAATCACCAAGAATACTATCACTTCAATGGCATATACCGATCAATAGTACGAATGAACAGAATTGGAACAAAAAAGTACCTCCATTTTTCTTAGTTCAAGGGCACTATCCACATCATCTGAAGTCATAGCAGTCCGCTTTGCATGACGCATACATTTTACAGCCTCCTGCAAATTCGCAAATCCACAAATTCAAATATCCATGTAAACATAACACTGGTTATCAACAGTTTACTAAACTATATACACATAAAACACTTCACAATGAAAAACTGATGACATTCGCATAATTTCACCTGCATGATCTCGCTAATACGGTATTCAATGTCGGCGGCTAAAGAAGGCAAAACATCCGGCGATAAATTCCCAACGCCGATGCTCTGTGCAATCACCTCAATGCTCTCTTTCTCTACGATGTTCATCGTCTTGTTTTTTCCTACAATCAACTACGATCACCTAGCTTATGAATAATTTACTTACATAGGTCATTCACAGCAAACCACTCATTCAATTAAGCAATTATCCCAATTTCTCTGCAAGAATTTCATGATGAAGCTCGAATTCGACCATAATTACAAGGAGGGAATTTATACATGAACTTTTATCGCAGAGAAATCCGCCTCTGCGTCTGCGATTTCAATTTGGGGAACCCGAAGACCGGAAGAAGTACAAAACCCATTGGGCCTCCGGATCCGATTTTCTTTTTCTATAAGGCCCAATAAACAACATCTCTTGATATCCTCTTTTAAAAGCTTTTTTGGGGTAATCGTAAATATTTGGGTTAGCTTAAGTTTTTAAAGGACCGTTTATCAAATATTTACTTGAATAAACACTTATCAAGTCATATTACCTTACCGAATGAATATGGTAAGGGCCCATAATCTTATTCAGTAAGAGCGAGGCAAGGACCAAAAGTCTTACTCGGTAAGTGAGTGCGACGACTCTTACCACAGTTAGCACTTACCGGGTAAATTGTTGCATACAATGCCGTTTTAGTAGACTAAAATCTTATCCAGTAAGTAAGTGATAGTATTGAATTTTACCGGTAAGTGCTTACTGGGTAAGTGTTTAGTAAATGACCCCAAGACAAAATTATGTGACCTAGCAATTATCAACGGAGTTGGCTAACCTGATAGAACCTAAAAAGGTAAATCGACCAATTAGTCTTTATATGGGACAACTGTAAAAAATGTCTTATTTGTCTTGTTATAAAAGCCAATACATAAGACATTTTTTAAAAAGATACTGTATAAAAAGACCTATAAAAAAACAGAACAATTTATTTCATGCCTTCTATTAAGTCATCTATTTCGTCCATACAACTTGTTAGGTTATCAAATTCCGTTTAACAAATTATTGTAACACCATAAATCATGTTGTTAACATATATTAAGGGGACGTTTACTAAACGCTTACTTGGTAAGTGCTTACTGGATAAAATTGCTCATTGGATGAACATGACAAAGGCCAAGAATCTTACCGGGTAAGAGCGATGAGAAGGATGGAGAGTCTTATCCGGTAAGTGAAAATGACGACTCTTACCTAGGTAAACGCTTACCCAGTAAATTGTTGCATTCGATACCTTTTGATGTAAATATCTTACGCATCAAAGTAAATTATAGTGTTGACTCTTATAGGTAAGCACTTATCAGTAAACATTTGGGTAAACAGCCCTTAAGATGTCTTTTTTAATGACACATTTAGAGAATTATTTACATACTTTATAGAAATATAATAAACATGAATGAAAAAGGAGGGATGATGCTTTCTATTTTCTTTAACAATATAAGTTGATATCGTAGCTTCGGAATCGACTATTTTCAGTGGCATGATCGATAGACCTTTGGGTGTGTTTGAAGGGATTATACAATAACCACAAGTAAATGGTGGATTAGCAGTTGCTGAATGATTTGATGCAAAATGATTAAGTGGTCAGAATGATTAAGTGACTTTCATGATATAGTGCAAAATGAAATATAATTGTTTGGTAATTGTTTACAATGAAATCAGGGAGCTGAATGGTTAAGGGAGACCCATGATACAAAATCATTCAGAGGGTTTTATTACCATTAAGAGACAGATTTTTTTTTCTAAACAAAATTCACCTCTTAATGGTTCAGAGGTTGCCTCTTAATAGAACTATTAAGAAGTAAATAAACAAACCCTAAATCCAATATAAAGAATTATTGGAAAATTAGTCTTGCTAGAACTGGGAAAAAAGACATCTGAAGAAAAAAGACGAAAACGAGAGATCATACTAAACCGAGAAATGCATAATTTCAAACACGAAAATCAGATGAATATTTGTACGTAATCTTTGGAAAACGGAGAATTATAATTGAATATTTAAATAAGAACTAGAGCTGATTGAATCATTGAAGATATCTGATAAGAAACCAAGAATCTTGATTTTTTTATTCAATTATATATACATATATATATAGGGTATATTTCTTTTACAACCTTGTGCATTTGTACAACCTTTGCAACCCAATTAATTGAGATATTTATAGAAATGATTGGAGTTCATTTATTATGATTTGAATATTTATGGAATATGAATAGAGTTTATTAATTATGATTAATACTTTATATTAGGAAACAATTAATTGATTAAAAATTGAATGGTTGAGATGAGGGTTGTATAGGGTGTAGGAATGGCAAAGGGTGTAGAATAACATCCCTCTATATATATATATATATGGAGAGAGAGAGAGAGAGAGAGACTTGGGATCATATGAGACCAAAGGTTTTTCGTAAGACCCGTAAGACCAATTCTCAACCCTTGGATTAGATCTACAATCTCAACATTCATAATCACAAAATTGCCACTAGACTTTTCAATAATTACAAAATTGTTATCGTGCAACTTTAAACCATTAGATCATTAGCTTCTAAAGTTGATCAATGAACATAAATTGGTTTCACGGGTCTCACGTGAACCCAACCCAACCCTATATATATATATATATATATATATATATATATATATAACTTTAGAAGCTAATGATCTAATGATCTAAAGTTGTACGATGGCAAGTTTTGTGATTATTGAGAAGCCTCGTGGCAATTTTATGATTATGAATGTTCAGATTGTAAATTTAATCCAAATGTTGAGAATTGGTTTTACGAGTCTCACAAAAAACCCTTGGTCTCACATGATCCCAAGTCTCTCTCTCTATATATATATGTCATTTAGAGTTATAATAATATCAACTATTTATATATATATATATATATGTGTGTGTGTATGTGTGTGTGTATAATGATTAATGGAGGGTTTTTTTTTTGACATTTTTGTAGTACAAGATAAAATATCTTGTAACTAGAAAGTTGCTACCCCTCAAAGAGTTCTTGTATGTAGCTAGAATGGTTCAAAGAGGTGGACCATTCCCTCAACTTTCAAACTAATAACCAATCTTTTTTTATTAATCCACCCGTCATGTGAGCCGACTAATCACAGAGGATTATCTGTTTTGCGGGTAACTTGGAGTCACCGTATTTGAACCTCCGTGGCCACAAAGAGATTTTTATTCCTCATTGGATTTGAACCTGAGACCTCCAGGCACTTTTGACATTTGGAGCTCAAGCTCAAACTAATTAGACACCATCAGTGTGGTTTAACGATCCTTTTTATACAACTCTTTTAAAATTCTTGAGCCATTTTTAGTCAGTCTAATGTTACGATGAATATGAATGATAAAATTTTAATATATCATGTTTGTATATCAAAAGCAACCTTAGAACTGATTTTATATTTCCAAAATACAAAATGTATATGTTTATTTGTGTAGATACAACTGTAAGAACTTTACTTATAAATCTTACTATATTACATTCTTTATTTTGTTTCGATAACAAATTAAAAGATCGTAATATGATGCACATTAAACACTTAGTGATAGCTTAACCAACAAGATTTTTGGATTACTACTAGTTCAGGTCCACTGAAGGCTACAGAGGGAGGATCTGCCTGACAGTTAATTTCAGGATCTTATGTGATTAATCAATGTGTGCACAAGATATCCCCGGTTATCCAAAAAAATAGGTTGCATGTAGTGAGTATTATATATATATATATATATATATGTGTGTGTGTGTGTGTGTGTGTGTGTAGGGACTCATTCAATGGAAAACTAATTAGTTTGTGGTAACCGTGGATCCAATGTGAATCACTTATTTGAGATATTTAAGAATATTTCTTAAATAAGTTAAAAGGGTAATACATTAATTCTATTTTTGACAACTAATCAAAATATTTAATTAAATTTTTTAGAAGAAAATATTTCATTAAAATTAGTTACCTAGTATATCAATTACCTAATATACATCGTATTTCAGAGACGTTTGTGAATTAAAGTGTGTCATAGTGATAACGTTCACAATGTTTCACGTGTATCACAATGTATTTTTTTTGTTTTATGAAATGTATCATAGTGTGCATTTTCGTTATTTTCATTGTTTTACAAAGGTTATCACCATTGTGCATCTTGTATGTATATTTGGGTATCACCATGAATATCGTTTGTAGGTATCATAGTGTATATCTTATGTTCACATAAGGTTCATTAGAATAAGGTTCGCCGAATAAGATTCGCCGGAGAGAGGAAAAGATTCGCCGTATGAGAGAGGATATGTATAAAATCCCTAAAATGCCCTTAATTGATATTTTAAGTTAAAATTACCAAAATTATTAATTTCCTAATTTAACCTTTGATTTATGGTTGAGATTGGATCTCACGGTTAACACAAATAAAATAGTTCTCATTTGGTTAGGCCTATGTATGTGTGTATGTATGTGTGCATGCATGTATATATGTATTTAGAAACTGTTGGATGATTTTTTTTTTGTTTGATCAGAAGGCTCGTAAACAACACAGTAGCATGCATGTAATTAGGTGGAGCTTTGATCACATATGAACGTAATGCAGACGGAACTTAACATATATCAAAATACCAAAATATCCCTCCTTCACAAAAATGATATACAACCATCATCGTTAGATCAAAAGGTAATTGACGGTTGCAAAGTGGTTCTCACATAAAGGGGTATTCTCATCGAAAACATATATATAATATATGTATATGTATCTATATGTATATGTATATGTGTGTATATATATATATATACTAGCAGTGTATCTGTGCAATGCACCAGGTAAGCAAAATTGAAATGGGACAAGAATCACCAAGAGACTATAAAATAATGACAAACTAGTTCTTCCATTTGAATTTTGAAATTCAAACAAAAAGTAAAAGAGAAAGGTAAATGGTATCAGGGGCAGAGCATCGATAGAGTTAGACCAAAAAGGTGAAAGTAACCAGAAATTTTAGTCTCTTGTGAAGACAAAAAGGGTTAAAAGCTTTTAAAGAATTCAAAACATGCATACAATACTTGTATATTGTGTTTTAGTGGGTATTTATGTGTAAAAATGGATGTTGAAGAAAAGAAAAGAAAGCTTCATAGGGAGGAGAGAAAATAAAGCTTATACCAAATGGGAGCTCTTGAGACTGTTGTTGAAGAAAAGGGAGTCTAAGACTCCATTTTTTTTTGTGATGAAAATCAGTGTAATAATAAGTTGTACATCATGCATACAACTTTGTAATAAAGAGATTTTT